CACCCACCACGGATGCTCAGCGCAGAGGACGCCCCCGTTCCAGGGGACGCTCGGGAGGCCGCTCCAGATCCAGGCGCCGTGGTGCCTCCAAGGGATGTTCCGGCTCGCGCTCCAGGTCGTCAGAATGTGCCCGGGGAAGTTCCACTTCTCAGCCTCGCTCCAACTCAAAGCCGGGGCACGTTTCGTCGGGGCCGACCAGGTCCCGCTCCCGCACGCCCACCACCTCTAACAGCAAGAAGCCGACGCTCTCCTGGGCCGACAAAGCCCGAGGAAGACGTGAGTCTCCTAGAGGCGACGAATCGAATCGCGGTTCTCCCCACGGGAGTGAGCTCGATGAGATGCGACGAGCTAACGAGCAGCTGAGGAAAGAAAACGCGCAGCTTAAGCAAGAAATGAGCAGGCTAGCAGCGGAGATGGCGGAGATTAGAAAGCTCGCGTCCTCGCCCCCTTCGGCGCAGCCCGCCCCAACCCCGGTCGCCATGGATACGTCTGAGGCACTTCATAGGCCTAGCGGAACTAAGCGCCGAGCGGTTGAGAACACACAAGAAGAAGAGGCGGTAAACTTACTGTCGGAACTCAAGGTTTCCTTTGTGAACATGCAGGCTACCTTAGCGAAAATTCAAGAAGCCGTGGCGCATCCAAAGATGGGATTAGGAGCACTGAGTGAACGCATAAGCAAAATAGAAGAGGTCGATGCGAGGAGAGACCCCGGTCCGACTCCTTTGCAGGTCCCAGCACAACGCAATGTACTAGCGCCACCGACTGAGGGCGCGATCCTCCGGGCTGCTATAGCTGCTCAACCATCCCCTCAGCCTAAACATGGATAGTGTGGACGAAAACTTCAGAATCTGGCAATGGAACTGTGGCGGGTTTACTCACAAAAAGCCCATTCTACAGCAATATTTAAGAACTCTCGATGTTAAGCCCCAAATCATCGCTGTTCAGGAAGTTGCGTCTGGAACCCCCATCAAAATCCCGGGTTACCTAGTAGCGTCATCACATTCTGGAGGTAGGGGAGTTGCCACACTTATCAGCAAAAGGTACAATTACCTATCGCGTGACCTCGGTGCAGTTGCCGATGGCATTGAGTACGTAATGACTGAAATTATAATGAACTAACCCAAGAAGAGTCTTCGAAGAAATAGCCTTTTTATTCTCAACGTATACTGCAGTCCCAGTTATCGCAGGGCGAGAGCAAACTCTCTCCTCAAAAGGGCTGTGAGCATGGCCAGTAGTTACCCCCTTGTAGTTGTAGGGGATTTCAACGCCCCACACAGCGTGTGGGGATACATGTATGATACCCCAAAAGGACGCGAGCTATGGCAGACTGCAACGGAAGCCGACTTAACGCTTATTACTGACAAGGATTTGCCCACTAGGAGAGGTAACTCCATATGTAGGGATACCACCCCGGACCTGACTTTTGTGAAGAACATAGATGGGATCAAATGGGTCAACACGGCTCTAGACCTCGGAAGTGACCACTACATCATCGAGGTATCCTTCGCGATTGCCCGCTTTAGGACGAAAAAATTCAAGGTGGTCGACTGGGACGCTTTTGGCGAAGTCAGAGCTGAGAGAGCACCGACGGCTGGGACAGACTTTGAAGGATGGTACAAAGGAATCAGAGATGACGTCACGGCAGCGACCAAGGAGGTCGTCACTGACCTCGATGTTGAAAACATGGACAGCAGGTTGGCACACCTACTAGAAGCCAAGCAAGCCCTACTCACGAGGTGGAAGGGACAGAAGCATAACAGGAGGCTCCGCAAGAAGGTTTCCGAGGTTAACAGGGCGATCGAGGAGCACTGCAAAACCTTGTGTAAACAACAATGGCATGAGCTTTGTGAGAGCATCGAGGGTCAGCTCAGATCTGGGAAGAGCTGGGGTCTTCATAAACACCTTCTCGATCAGGGCAGCACCAGGTCCAGTCAGAGGCGATCCCTCGCGCGAGCCATCCATCTTGCTACTGACTCTACACCGGACGAATTGGTTGTCAACAAGCTTATAGACAGGTATCTGCGAGTCGCGGATAGCTCTGCACCCACACAGTTCCCGGACTACGCAGGGTGCGACGTGCCGGAGTTGGACCAGGACTATACTGTGGCCGAGATACGGCAGGCTCTCTTTTCCCTAAATGCCAAATCCGCCCCTGGCCCTGATGGCATAACCAATAAGATGCTCAAGAACCTTGATGATGACTCCATCGAATTCCTTACGGAAAAGATGAATGAGGTGTGGCGCAGTGGGGAGGTTCCCGCACAATGGAAGACGGCCTACACAGTTCTAATCCCGAAACCTGGTAAAGCACCAGGAATAGATAATCTAAGACCGATTTCCTTAACTTCCTGCGTCGGTAAGGTCGCAGAGCACGCCCTTCTGGACCGACTCAAGGTGCACCTCGAGACTAATGACATGTACACCCACAATATGATTGGTTTCAGAGCTGGTCTCTCGACACAGGATGCCATGAAGCTGATAAAGCATCAGATCATCGACCGGAGCACAGGAGATACCAGAGCCATCCTTGGATTAGACCTGGAGAAGGTTTTCGACAACGTTTCTCACGAATTCATTCTCCAGTCTATTGCCAGCCTAGGGCTAGGGAAGAGGGTCTACGACTTCGTGAGATCCTTTCTTTACCAGAGAACTACCAAGCTCAAGATCGAAGGGTACTTCTCACGAGAGATCAACCTCGGTTCACGCGGCACGCCTCAGGGCTCAGTTATTTCACCAACACTATTTAACATCGTGATGATCGGGCTCTCCAAGGAACTCGCGAAGATTCAAGGAATGAATCATACCATCTACGCAGATGATATAACCATCTGGTGCAGCGGCGGGAGCAACGGTCAAGTTGAGGAAGCCATGCAGCACGCAATCGACGTGACCGAACGTTTCCTCCGTCCCACCGGTCTCAAGTGCTCCCCATCGAAATCTGAACTTCTGCTCTACAAGAAAAGACCCCGAGGTGGCGGCCACCGTGACTGGAAACCTGCGTCCCAAAGTGAAATACGACTTTTCACTAGTGACGGGTCCCCAGTGCCAAGAGTGGATTCGCTCCGAATATTGGGAATGTATATCGAGTCCAACGGCGCTAACGGAGCTGCACTGAGACAGATCACTACCAAGACGGAAAGTGCTCTCGGCCTCATCCGGAGGATCACCAACAGACACCGCGGAATCAAGGAAGACAATCTCATTCGCATCATACATGCGTTTGCGCTCTGCGACCTTTCGTACTCGGCGGCCATGTATAATTGGCCTGTTGCAGAAAGAAGTAAGCTCAATTCCCTCATAAGAAAGGTCTTCAAGCTCGCGCTCGGCTTGCCTGTAAGCACTGGCACTGAAAACCTTTTCAAGCTCGGTGTTCACAATACACTCGAAGAGATAATCGAGGCGCAAGAGCGCTCACAGCTGCTCAGGCTTTCCGAAACCAAATCGGGCCGCAAGATACTCGATGATTTGGGCCTCAATTCTATTGACCAGTGCCCCGATTCCATGCAGATTCCCGGAAACATCAGGTCTCAGCTGCGCATCGCACCCATTCCCCGCAATATGCACCCTGCGCACAACGTCGGTCGGCGTAGGGCCAGGGGTAGAGCTCTGCTCGAGCACGTCCGTAGCAACCCCACTGATGCAAGCTTTGTGGATGCTGCGCCATATGTCTAACAAGAGGCATTCGCTGTTTCCATCGTCGACTCAAATTCCAGGCTCACTCGCTCTGCCACAGTACGCACATCGAAGCCCGTGATAGCCGAACAGGTTGCAATCGCGCTGGCTATGCTAGATAGTCGCAGAGAGTCAATATACAGCGACTCCAAGGCGGCTATCAAAGCCTACGAAACCGGGATGGTAGCCCCTCAGGCCCTCCGCATTCTCCAAAGTGTCAAGAGTATCACGCCCCATTCTCTCACTTGGTTTCCCGCTCACCTGGGGTCGATTGAGGGCCCAACCTCTAACCCGAACGAGGGCGCACACGAGGCCGCGCGAGGACTCACTGACCGCGCTGCCTCCACAGTCCCTCTGCCTCACTGGGAAACCTTACTTACGTTCAACGAAATAACAAAGCACTTCTATCTGTCAAGAAGGGTATTCCCTCTTCCACACCCGGCCTTGTGCAGGGCGCAGGCAGTCACCCTAAGACTATTGCAAGCCAGTGCGTATCCTAACCCTGTGGTTCTTCATGCCATCTACCCTGAACGGTATCCAAGTGCGGATTGCCCCGCTTGCGGACTGTTAGCCACATTCAACACATTCAATCATGTGTTGTGGGAATGTGAAGCCATCGGCCCCGCCCTCAGCGAGGACAGGTGGGCTGCGCTCTTACGCAGCCCCGAACTTAAGGATCAAACCCTGGCCGTCCAGAGTGCCCGTGAACGGGCCGCCAAGCTCGGCTTGACGGTCCCAACGTGGGATTAGCCGGGTGGAGCGGGGTCTCCCCTGCGTCTTCTCAGGACAAAAATAAAGTTTTAATCAATCAATCAATCTCACCAGTGCTGAACCTGTGCTTCACACTGTACTACGTCACCATACTGCTCTGACACAGGCGACAGCTGGGCAAAGCTACGCTCAGTTGATGGCTGCATGCCAATGAAGTAATCACAAACATGTAAATTCGTTGATGAGGGCTTGGTCATAACGACGGGCCATGCCTACCCCTCCTTGTTATCCCCCTTCCTATCACAGGCTAGCCCTCTTCGCGAAGGAGAAGGGTGGCAAGGTCAAGCAAGAAACTGAAACTAGCTGGAATGACATTCTTTTTACAACACTAATTTGCAACTGCCTTTCGGTAGCACGTTTGCATCGTGCACATACGCGCTTACCTTTTCCTCGCAACTTTTGTGCTGCTGATTTTTTACTGGCCCTTTAAACGTCACCTCAATTACCTCTCGATCTGCCCTCAATTGAGGGTGGGCAACTGCAGAAAATTGCATGGCTGTGAAGAGTCCTCTCTATGAAGCTAAGGCCAGGCGGCGTGCTTCCCGTGCGACTCTCACCTCTTCTTTCCTTTTCTTCAGCTCTTCTAGTGTGGCGAGTGCAGAGGCGATGCCCTGCTCGACCTGCGCAAGCTCCTGGCGGATAGTGTCCTCCAGCTGGCATCGATGTGCCAGGTCGTTGACCAATGTCTTCATCGCCGCTTGCACGGGTGGCTTGGTGTCTGTCGGCATGGCGCCCGACGGCATGGACCCAGACGGCATTTCACCTGACGGTGTGCCACCCAGTGGAACGAAATTCAGCGGCTTCACGTCATCCGGTGGTGTGACGGGAGGCGGTGGCGTAGGGGGCGGTTCCACTTTGGTGATAACCGCTTCCAGTGGCGGCGATGATGTTGGAGCGACGCTTGGCAGTGGCGAATGCCCTGACACAGGCTGCTCTGATGAATTCTGCATAATAAATAAATAAATAAATAAATAACAAAATAAATATATAAGCAAATAAACAAAAATTATAAAAGAGCCCTGCATCGCTGCCTGAACAAGGTAAAAAAAATGCTGCTTATCGGTAGCCTCTAAACATGTGAGCCGAACATGATGGCATAGCATGTGGCACGAAATTCAGAATTAATTTTCAAAGCCAGCAAGAAATCACTTCCTCTTATCCGGACAAATGATTCCATATACCTAAAATCAACTGCTTCACATGCCAGGAGGCACACGGACACTGGCTGACTAGAGCTTCTTAGGCTGTATACTACCTAGTTATCGCAGTTGCTGCGGCGTGCCGTCACATGCCAGTGCCACACTCTACTAGCGTGCTCATCATCAGCTTGAAAGCGAGCCATGTCTTGAAAGAAAACAAGAAAGTGCTCAAGATCATGAAGTGCACCTATGTACAGATATAGAATCTTGCGTCCTTTTCATTCCTGCTGCGTAACTTTCAGCATGCCCACCGAGACGAAAAAAAAGAGAGTGTGTTTGAAGCATGTGACAGTACCTCCTCTAGAAGTTGTTGAATTTTGAAGTCGATTTTCAGCTTCAAAAATTTACTATACTTAGAGAGTATAAGCCGGCACAACAAACATAAAAGCAAATTAATGCGAGAGGTGTATCTTCACTTACCTTTCAATTAGGGCTTCGTGCCAATGAGGATTGCCCCTAATTATGTTTTCACGGTTTAACACTACTTCACTGCAGTGAAACCACCTTTACAGAAACTTGCATGAGGTGTGGAATAATATACACTTGGCTAGCTGCTTTTACAACGTGGCACTCTTCCCCCGCAATAAAACCATTTTTATAGGGATTACATGTGGATTAATTTACACTTACTCGTTAGTTTCTAAACTTTGAAATTTTCAAAATTTTGAATTCGATTCGGAGCAAAGTAGAATACTATATTATTCATTAGAATATTCAAAGCATTCGCATATTCGCACAAACCCAGCCATGTGGATCAGCTGAGACAATATCCTCATTGACAGACTCACCCAGCTGCACAAGAATGCAAGGAGCATCATCATTTAGCATCAGCACCCTCCTTTCGATCACCATCACTTTGTTCTATTCATTTGTTCACTCCCCCATTCCGTAACGCAACTTGCATGATGCATACTACTACTATTACTACTACTACTACTACAGTAAAAGCTCATTAACCTGAATCATACGGGACCGGTGAAAATGTCCGAGTTAACCGAATTCCGCATTATTGAATAAACCATTAAAACAAAAGAAAAATGTACTCAGCATAGACAAACCTTTATTTCAGAAAAAAACTGCGTTAGCTTAGTCTGCCTCGTCATCGGAATCAGTGCAAGAACGATCTTTTTGAACCCCATGTAGTGGTGGTGTGCACGCTCGGTGTCGCAAGAACTGATGCAGAACTCTGCGAGGAAAGCGAGGGCTTCAGCGGCCTCCTGCACGGTGCGATGTCGCGTCGGCTCATCTTGAATGTCATCATCGGAACAGTAGGAAGGTTTAGAATAATGTTTGCAGGTGCTGCGGGCATTGCTTTATTCGCGGGCGCCCTATGAGTTTTAGAATAGCATTTGCCCCCTCTAGGGAAAAGACTGGGAACTTTCGCCCCAATCGCAAACCGAAATATGCACGGAAGTTACACACAGCACTTTGCGGGCCTCACAGGCTGCGATCGCTGCACGCTATTTCGAATTTTCTGTAGGCAGGCCGCAAATGCGAACGACGGTTCGCGTTACGACGCACGCGCAGTGGCAGCGACCGCACCGTAAGGGCTCGCGGTGCGCTATTTATAACCTCACTATATGTCATCATCAGTCACCAAACTAGCAACGGCCACACCATCATCAATGCGCACAAACACAGCCCGAGAACGTAAGGACAATTTTTAGGTCAAAGCGTCAACTCGCCCAAACAGTCAACTCTTTTGACGTACCCAAGCTGCACACGTTATGCGCGAAGACACAACACAAAAAAATCGGCAGCGTAGGCGTTGCGGGCCACTCGGGTAGTGACGGCTGCCATGTGCGGCGCATTTTGCAGACACTGGATGCACCGATGGCCCAAGCGCTTCCGCTGGGTGGTGACTAGTGCCACCTAGCCACTTCCCTTCTCATTCACTATCATCATGATCACATTCTGCAGCTGTTTTTTTAGTTTCCGTTCAAAATTTGGTTCCGCCGTTGATAACGGCGATTGAGCCGGGACTCCATGCCTTCAGTAACTGGAATCGGTTACTGAAAGCATGAAGCCCCGTAACCCTCTGTGGAATCGAAATCCCTCCGAATCAACGAGCATTTGGCACCATAGAAATATACAGTTTTGCCGGGACTGCGACGCATGTTCGCGTTAACTGAATATCCGAGTTAACTAGATCTGGATAAACGAGCTTTTACTGTACTACTGTGACTACCACTAGAACAGTTTAACACCTCCATGACAAAATCATTGGGGAAGTGTTTTGTTCATTCTCATGGGAATTTCACTGCGAAAATAGAAACACACACACACACTCCAATGACATCGCGCAACCAAAACTCATGTACAGAAGTTCCTGATCTTGCTCTGCTTCACATTGTTTTGAATGGGCTCGATGATTTGAGCATCACAGCTAATAAGTTTTGCACAGCTTGGTCATCATCGCTGGCACTGAGCAAATTGCAAATGATGTCAAAAACATCAGAGCATTGCATGTAAGCAAGCCATGGGAGGTCTCAATGTGCACACCCAGAGACACGCGTAAGCAAGGTGTTAGGCAGTCGCATTACGTGTCGGCATGACACCACTTTTGTGAATGTCATCACTTGAAACGAACGACAACACAGTTGCCAACAAAGGTGTTCAAACAACACGGTTCTCAGTGAACAAAAATTCTTGTTGCTACCCTTATCATTCAACCAAACGTAAACAGGAATGCCCGCACCAATGCTTGCTGAGGGAAATGTGTGCGCTCTTCTAGTCAAATAAGCCGTGCTGCAATTTTCGAATTTCCAAATTCCCAACTAGCTCACGGGTGAGAAAAAAATGTTGCAAATTACTACTTGAAACTTTCGTTACTGGAAGAGTGCCTTCAAAATTATCTTCACTATTCAGAAAGGGCAAATGCACTGAATTCTACAGATAATGCCCAAAAATGTCCTATCTTATCGATGTTGCAAGCATTTCGATTCTGAAGGTGTTTGTAATTGAGGGGTTCATCTGTACTACTATACTACTACTCCCGCTCTCTGTTATTACAAGGAGGACAGCGACAGCAAAACATGACTAAGAAAGCTACACTGTAAAGACACATGGGAATTGTAAAAATCCTTCGCAGAACTTCGATATGCCGACCGACGAATTCGCACAGGATAACAAACCCACATGCCGCCTGAGAGAAAGCTAACAAAAAACATGTTGCAACACAATAATAGCTTCAGTCTTCACTGTCATTAATTGAGCAAGCTGCCACAGCCAGAACCAAGATAATTCATAAAAGGTAGAATAGAATTCTACGGGCGCAGAAGCATAGGGAAAATGCTGACTGCAGGCGTAAATGCAACGCCCGCTGCATCAACGCAGTATTGCTTCCAGGCTCGTACATCTAAACATGCTAAATTGCCATTTATTAGCTAGTTTTCCCACCTGAAGGTCATGTCACAACGGGAAGACGTCCATGATATCAGCTAATGGCATGTCCCAATTTCGATACAGGGAACTAATGAGGAGTACTGTAACTTTTATAATGGAAGAAGTCATGGAAACCACTGCCATTGGGTTTGACACAAAGATCACGGGCTGAAAAAGAGTAGGCATGGGCAAATATTCCAGCGCTTCAAATACTCGAATTCACTTCAAAAGAAATTTAAAGTATTCAAAATTTCAAAGTATTTAAAATAAGCAAGTAGCCTGAGGACACAAGGAGCCTAGGGGTGTGCGAATATTCTAACTTTTGAATATTTTTCGAATATTGATACGAATGATTCAAATATTCTTTTAATACTAATAACTTTTCGAAAATTATTTGGTTCACACTTGAACTTCAACATTTGAATTCACTTAGCACCCAAAATTTTGCTGATCACACAGCTCTAAAGTAGCCTACTTTTAGCCCTTCTAAAAAAAGTGCTTACATTGCAGCCTGCAGGTGCTATGCTGTGAAACCACCCATCCAGCAGTTCACAATGCCGTGAAGCCATTCTTCAACTAAATTGAAGAATGGCTTGAAGAATTGAATAACCATATGTGAATGGAACTACCTTACTAATACATGTGCTGATTGAATTGCCTTACCAGACAACTTTCTTCGCCCTTTATTGTTTCAGTTTCGCCATTGCTATTTTGTTTATATGTGTAGTATTTTATTTGTATCTGTATTAACTAACCTGCTTGGACCTTGAGTCTGCAGTATCGAATAAATAAATAAATAAATAAATAATATATGTAAAAAGAATTATCTGCACATGAACATTTTTTTAATAGTTTTAAAGCACGTTTATACAGCTTATATGCACTCACTATAGCAAGCTCTGAAACTTAGCATTATTTAAGCTTATAAATTATGTGCCCTTACTATTAAAACAATGCTACAATATGGATTTCGTCCAACTCTACTACGAACTGGGAAAGTGACAATCCCACATGCCTAGTCATGATACTTACAAATATTGTGCAAGTCAGTTGGCTCATAAGAAAAATTCCCATTTGTTCTTTGTATATCTGATATATACTATTCAAACTATTCAATTTGAAATGATTCAACCAAATTACTATTTGCTTTGAACCTCAATCTTGCTATTAATATTTGACAAGAGGAGTCCCCTGATCCACCCAATTCTATCGATCATTGATTAAACTTTGCACAGGTGATTACCTTAGGAAATGTGGCTGCCGAGACTGACGCCGGTGAACCGTGTCTGACGCAGTTGCTCGGTGTTGCTTTTGGCGACGAGACGGCAGGCATGGAGGCCACCGCAAACGTGGCTGGCGAGACTGATGTCTGCGAACGGCGTCTGATGAAGCTGCTGGACGCCATTCCCGGTGACAAGACGGCCGATGTGGAGGCGGTGTGGCTTTCGGAAGTGGTGGGAGTGGCGCTCTTCGACCTCGATGACGGCCTCTTGGCTTCCCGCGACAACTCTGCCGCGACAGTTTCTTCGTCTCGGGCTGCGACGGGAGGTGAAGGTGTCGGTAACGCTGCGGCGCTGTCGACGGTGCTGCTGTCCGCACTGGCAGAGGGCTGCCTGCCTTTTCTCCGAGCAGGCTTCTCAGCCTTGCGCACCTGCTTACTGCTTTGCTGTGCCGCTGTTGGCGTTGACGAAGCACGCTGTGGTGGAGGTGTAGCCTGAATATGAATTATGAAAGAAATTATGCCAAGCACGCATCAGCGAAAAACAAAGGTGGCACTGTTGTAATGATAGTCTAATTCGTACACTAGAAACAATGTCGTAGGTCCTCTTCATCTTTCACCCTTGCTGAGCTGTGAAGGTGCTTACCACAAAAACGCTGATATCTTAGAACGCTGTCATTGTTTAAGTCATATTACTTTAAAGATGCACAAAATTTAGTGCCGTGCAATGCTCACAACACTTGCCATATCAATGCTAAAAAAGCATTCACACAATTACGAATGAGCAGGTATTGTTTTCAAATACTTTTATGAAAGAAAAAACAATTGCATGTGGAAAAGAGCGTTTCAAGGCTATTCTACTACATGGCGCCACCATTTCGCACCTGAGAGCACTTGAGTGGGCGCAGACACACTGACGACAATTCCCGTACACTAGAAGTCCTAACGTCAGGTTGTAAATTTATTTGTGACCAATTTTCAACCAAGACAAATCATAAAGCTTTAAACATTACGAACAACATTTATCGCAGCTATTTGGAAAAAAACAGCCTGCGATACACATAGCACATCTAACAAGATCAGTCGCCTGCGCGATGCCACACTTCCAAACGTTGTTGAACCGGAAGTGGGCAGCTGAAGATGTACTGAGCTACTGTGATCTGCAACGATCCGCAGCTTTAAGTGTTCCAACAAATTTCACAGTTTAAGCGGCGAGTTCAAATCAGCCGGTACATGACCCCTAGGACTTACTCTACCCGTCAAATGTGCTAGCACGAAATCCTAAAAACCATTTCAGTGTCCCTTCGATCAACTAATACTACTACAGAAATTCATTATTATATAGTATTGAATGTTACTGATTACCATCACTACTACAGTGTCCCAGGGCAACGCCAATAACAACCACTTCAAAATAAAAATCAAAATACACACATGGCTACGACTAACAAACAGGATTAAAACATACCTTTTCTTGTGACACCTTCACCGTCGGTGTTGTGGTGCTCGGCCTGTTGTCCTCATCTGAGGTGTTGTGCTCGTCAGAGTCTATCACGACAGGAACCACTTTTTCCTTTGGAGCCGGAACAACTAGGCACTCATCATCCGAAGACGAAGCGCTGTCTGCACTTGGCTTTGCTGCAGACTTTACGGACACGTTTGAACCACCCTTCACACCCGGACTCTTGGCCACGCTCGAAATCTTTGGGAGGACTGGACTCGCCTTTGTGGCGGGAGACCTCGCAGCCCTGCTGCTGCTTGGGGGCGTCGACCGCGGACTTGCCCTCAACTCTGGCGTCGCGCGCAGACTACCGCTCCCTTTCGAGCCGAGGCCCGCCGTGACTGGCGATGGCACTTCTGCCGCAGACGAGTGGGGCTGCTCCATGTCCGAGCTGAGAGCGTGCATCAGGCTCTTGAGCATCTCCTCGGGCAGCTCGCACGACTCAACCTGCTTGACGAGCACGTCAAAGTCGATGCTGGGTATGCTGCCCAGCAAGGGATCATCATCTGGCCCCAGGCGGGCTTGTGTCGTGCTCGGCCTCATCGTCTTCCGCGCCATCACCGACTGCGCGAATTGATGAAAAACGAGCGAGAGAGCTCGGTTAAGGGAAGACACCACTCTAAAAGTTTTTTTACTTCTTGATTGATTGTGATAAACGTTGGTGAGCTTATATATATATACATATATATATATATGTGTGTGTGTGTGTGTGCGTGTGCTTATTTTAAATATACAATTATTTTTCTTGTGTAAGGTGAAGTTTTTATAATACAAAATATTTAATGTGCCTCTTCGGGAGCAAGATTTCTTTGAAACTAAGAGAGCTACAAAGTGAACTGACATATCAGAATAAGCTGGAGTCAGGACTGTGTGCAATGCCACAAAAATGGATGTTCTAAGTCAATTTGAACAAAAGTTGTGGTACGTTGAACATTTGTGTGCAAGTCAGTTTCAAGCTGGAATTTCACTGGCAAGTGTTCAACATTCCATAAATTTTCTTCTAGTCAATTTAGAACATTCAAATTTGTTGCAATGCAACCAGGTTTGATTCCAAATTATTTTGATATGCTTATTTACTTTGCAACTTTCTTAGTTCAGGCAAAAGCAGGCTCCTCAAAAGGCACATGAAATATTCAGTATTTCAAAAACTACTCTAAACACACAAAAAATGTAAATTCACATTTGAAATCAGCACACATATATACATACACTTGTCAAGTTTCATCAGACTTCATTTAGAAATAAAAAAGTTTTGAAGTGCCATGTCCCCCCTTAACTTGCACAAGACGTCGCTATGTTTGAAGCATACTGGGTCAATCTAGGATTCGACAATGGAAGCTCCGTCGTTAATAGGAAGTTAGCATTAAGCATTAGACTAATGTATTGACAAGCTGGTTGGTGTGAATCCATGGCTTTCTAGCACAGAACAGAATGTTTAGATTGATTTCAGTACAGCCCCGCTGACACATTTTTTATAGAACCGTAAAGAAAGGCAAAAAACAAAACAAAAACATACAAACAAACAAAAAACATCGTGAAAAACAAAAGGCGGTGGAAGGGGGGTCTCAATCCCAAGCGCCAACATCAGCGTTGCGGTCTTATGGTGGCTGGGAGTAGCCGAACACACGAGGGTAGAGTTTTTCACTAAGGTGAGAGTCTCAAAGGATCAACACAACTGGCAGAATCTATTTCAGTCAAAACGATCCGCGTGTGTCTTCCTGGGACACACGTGAACGGACGAGACGGTGCAGCTGGCTGCCGCAAAAGCGCAGGTCAAAGCTTTGCTCACTACTACAATCTTTTGACAGGAACGCCGAAACGCGTCTGGCCTCTTTTATTGCGATACCAATTATATGGACAGTCCATGCTGTTTTTTTTGCCGTCGCCAACACCGCCGTCCTTCACAGTATATATATATGTATATATATATATATGGAGACACAAAGAAAAAATTGCCCGCAGCTTCCCTCGGGGGAACACTGAGGAGGATGCGGACCATATAATTGGTTAACGGGGTGTTAAAGTGCGACTTACTTGGGTCGATGGCTAAATTGGTTAACGTGGTTGTGAAATGGGGTGTTAAATTGCGACTTACTTGGGTCGATGGCTAAATTGGTTAACGTGGTTGTAGGAGGGGGTGTTAAATGAGTGAACACGTACACACGTATGCGAAAGGGCGGCGCTGGTCGAAGGGACGTCGATCATTGTGTTTGTGGATTCGTTGGAATTCATTTCACCGCGACCTTGGACGTCGACGCGCCGTACAAACCAACCGACGAGCGGCAACTGAGTGAGCGAGCGCCTACCTTGAGTATATATACAGCACGACGGCGCATGCACTGTCAGCTGTTGAATGTTCTCGAAGCGCGACGCCACATGCGCGTCCACTGGAGAATCAGGAGAATTGTAGATGGCGAACGCGGTGTGTAGAGGAGGAAGGGTGCACAGATGGTGGAGGAGTGAAGCGCGCGCGGTGTGTAGAGGAGGAAGGGATGCACAGATGGTGGAAGAGTGGGCGACGGCGCGACGGCGCATGCGCGCGCGTCAGCTGTCGAATGTTCGAGAAGCGGTGCGGACGGCGCACTACAAGGCGCGAGTATAAGATGCTCCGCATCTAAAAAAGCCGTCCGCGCTCACTGCCAAGCTCGTCGCGATGCACCGACGCTTGCTTGTCTCTCACGTGTACTTTGTCCCATGGATGGATGCCTGTGCACGCACGCTTATCCTTTGGTGGGGGAATCATGTGCCTTCAGCTTTCACAGAAATGAAAGCGTTAGTTGCCGGCCCCACAAAGGCCACTTTGCTCTCTACACAGGCCCCTTTTGCGAAAACGGCGCGCTTTTCATACACAGCGAGGTATAACAACTGGGACACTTGTTAGTTTCTACTCATCTGTACCTGTGATTACGTATCGTGCATCGTTTTTGTTTAAACAGCGCATTACATGTCGAGCGGCAAACGTTGTTAGTTACAATACTCTCGCCCTGCGAGTATAGTTTTCGTGCGTCATTTGTGTGTAAGCAGCACGCTGCACATTTTGGTCTGCTTGCCGTTCTAAGCGTTACATTCCAAGTTGTTGCTGTAGCATTTATTGCTACGCCCTTGCGGGGAAACTGTGACTTTTTTATTTCTTACGTATTTACTGCCTTCAACCTACTGCTGCGTTCCCTCGAAGATGGTAGATCACTATCGCTCCGCTGCGACCGCGGTTTTTTGCGTGGCAGTTGAGGCAGACGGTAGTTCATTTTACAATCCCCAAGCGCTTCGCTGCGCACGCGCCTTCAAAACTAGGTAATTTCATGCCATCTACAATAGCATCTGCCGCAGTTTTGTGCGCGGAATGCCGAAAGCAGTGTTGCTTTGACTGGTTGAGCGCACACTTTCGGGGTTCTGTCAGTTACGCTGCCGCCATACATGATCGTGTCAAGAGTGACCGCGGTTTCGTCCACAGTGGTTGTGGCAAAGGCAATCACACACACTGTAGAAGACAGTGCGTGCACCGGTCGTACGCGTACTTCTAAAGCTCCGAGTACGCTGCTCTCGGCCTTCGTTCGACGGTTTCCGTACTAAATTTCGTATCACCCGCCGCGATTAGAAAATGTGTTCGGAACATTCGAATTGAGGCCCAATGAACATAGTAAAATTTGGCTGGCGAATTATAAGAATTTGTATCTGCCACCGTTTCGCACCACTGATATTACACGGTATGTTTACATGAACGCATCTTTATACTCATTTATAATAAAATGGGGTAGGCTCGAAAAGGCTGCAGCGGATTGAGCTGCTTTTTTGTCGATGCGGCCAGATCACGCACAGAAATTTCGATTTCCAGAAGATTTTCATGACAACCGTACAACCAAAAAAAAAAAAAACGGTCAAAATCCAAGAGTCTTCCGGTCAATCCGGATGACTTGGCAGGTATGCGATCACGCAACCAGCCAGAGATGATAAGTTCTACATTGGAGAACCGCGCCTCAGTGGAACAGCATGAGTTCATTGGGGAACGCGGAATAATTCACTCATGCGCAAGGGGGCGTCGCTTAATATGCGAAAAAGCCTCCACATGCAACAAACAACTAATATAGTGACCACTCATTAAGGCAATTTCTACTTTATTACACTCAAACGTCGATATAACGATTTCGAATATAACAAAGTGAGGCTATAATGGCTATAACCAAGTAATACCTTTGTCATAAATAGTGTTACAAATGATCGTTTATAGCGAATTCTCGGTTCTTTGATTATATGATGGTTTTACATGGTCCCCCGAAAGTCGTATAATTGGAGTTTGACTGTATTTCGATTGCAGCTATTCATGGCTTGCACTGCTGTCGGCTTAGCCAAGTCATAGTATGCTCAAACCTCATTATAACAAATTTGCATCTTACATAAAAATAAGTTCATCATATACGAAAATTCGTTGTAATGGTATATTCCTAACACTACTATATCCATTCCAGACTATTTTTCATTTACTTTGTTGCAACCAATATGTCAGCAATATGTCGTTATATCCGGGCCTGTTATATCAAAATTCGAGTGTATAGAGCACCTCAGTGATGGAAGCGACATTTTGATCTTTGGAGCAGATTTTGGAGCAGAAAAAATGGTGCTTTGGAGCAGCCTTAAAGGCCAACTCCGGCGATCTTTCGAGGGCAGTGGATCCCAATAAAATTCACTGGGTACGTTCATTCGCACGTTTGTGCCATTCATTCCAAATTGCAGTCTTGAAAGTTTCGCAGATTTCTTTCAAATGAATTTTATAGCTTGCCTTGAAAGGCTCACCTCGCTTGCCAGAAATAATGGCAACAATGTGTGTGTGACGGGGAGTTTTGCCTGGCGGAAGTGACGAATTGATGTGCCACTCGAGCGTCTGCTTGTCTGCTATGGATTGTGTGGGTTTGGCTGGCACTTCCTTGGTTGAGCGTGTGATTTCCTTTTCCATGTTAGTGTGCCTGCGATAAGTGCCAGGTGGTGTTGCATTGTGAGTTACATGCGATTCGCCATATATTCACCATAACAGCGTAAGCGTTTTAGTCGATCGCCGCGGACGGCGTGGACAGGTAGTGCCATCTGGCGGGCACTATGTGCAATTAGGCAGGTTCCGGCAACGTCAGGCAAATCTTTACGTCACACGTAGAAGCACACTCGATTGGGTTTTAGTTTCAGTATCGTGGTTTTCCAGTAATTAAAAATGATTTTCAAATTTTTTTGAGCATTTCAGTTATAGGGCACGTCAGAAGAGTGCCCAAGGAACATAAAAACACCCTTATCTTGACAGGGTAAAAAAAATCGCCGGAGTTGGCCTTTATGTGTCTTCGGAGCAGCCAAAAATGCTATACTTAGGGTTGCTATTCATGCTTTTAAAGAAGATTCATGTTCCTTAACGACTCCTGAAGTGTAAAACATCACTTAAGCATCTAACAAATATTTATATTTATATCATGCCATAAGCTAGTATGCAGCTGTACGGAAGCAGTATAGTTGGCGTAAATCATGAGCGGAGGAGGGGGCGGGGGTCAATAGAGTTCGGGTTTTTCTGGTGTTCAGGCAGGGCGGAAGACCACTTGCAAGTGTCCCATATGTGATTTAGTTTTAGCAATAATATAATTGCGTTAACAGTTAAGCATAGTGCAATAAATTTTTAAATGCTTTTTATCTTTTACTGCATACTTGTGTTAAAGAACCCTGAGCTGGGTTAACTACGGCAATCGAAAAAAGGTGAAAAAAAAAGAAACCGAATAAAACCGAGCTCAGACCCCATGCTCGTTTTTGAAATTTTATTGGGAAACATGATTTAATTCTTATATAAATAAAGATATTACACATATTAAATCAAATGGCCACCATGGCCTGATGTGTGTCACCCCTTGCGATTTGTCTGGATTTACGCCACTGTGTATAGCATACTAGGATGATAAGGCAGCTTGTTTTTGGTTTCGCTTAGGCTCACTGGGTGGTCCCGTGGTTCACCATTTTTGTTTTAGTTTGCCAACACCATTTTAGAGCAGGTTTGGAGCAATTACTGGCAAATATTGCACTTTGGAGCAGCATTTCTCTTTTGGAGCAGTTTGGAGCAGCACTTCCATCACTGAGCACCTGAAGAAGCCCACTACATGACCTTGTGCTTCCCCAAGGAAGTTAGATTATTCTTGCCAATAGCAGCATTACTTGGTTGAAAAAGCTGCGAGCGAATGTTTATTCTCAACTTCAAAAAATCGAATTTAATGTGCATCTTTCTCTGGGTAAATCGAGTCCGAAAATTGCCTGCGCACGAAAATGAAACTGCAATCCTGTTGCCAACAGCCTCCCATCAGACAAGTCAGACAAGGTGTCGGCGTCATCACATAATGACGATGGAGCTCAAGTGTGCGTAGAGTGCCTTCGTGCATGACTGAGCTGTGCACATTGTAATATGTTGCCTCATGAAGGGCAGCTAGTGATGTCTTGCTCTTATGATGAACCTCGATGTCAAGTGAAAGTAATTTAGCACAGTGAAATTGGCTGCATCGTGCCCTCTTGCGTACCCAAGCCTGTGACTCTTGCGTACTCGAGCCTGTGACAAACAAAGGCAGGTGATGTGCTCTATGTCAACCCAGAAGAGTTTCCACAGATCGAAAAAAAGATCATGATCAGAATCTCAGAGATTAGCTTTTTGACCAGCTGAAGCTATTCTGCATGGATAGAGCTTGTCTAGGCAACGACTCTGGATAAGCATGTGATCGAGGTGTATACAGAAGCGCACGAACTGCAAGGAGAATAAATTTTCAATTCTAGGAAGACATCTTCTCTCACTTTCTACTTTCCTAATCATCAACCTAGGGGGGAATGCAAGTTCATATTTTGCAAATGTGAATATTTGGTCAATGTTCGAATTTGAGTAAGGTGGTTCTTTTTTTTTAAATGAAATCGGAAAGTTGTAAGCAAATTCGGGGTCTGCATAAAAAAGCCATCATATAACCAAGGTTTTAAATCAATTATTTCTGTGGGAAAACGGATTCGTCATAAAATGTGAGTCATCGCAAAACCTGGCGACGTACACTCAAACCTCGTTATAATGCAATGGGATATAACAAAATAATGCATATAATGAAGTAAATGAAATTCCCCTCGAAAGCTCCATTAAGAACCATGCATTTTAAACCTCAATGTAATGAAGTAAAATTTCTTGATAAATAGATATAACGAACTGAATTAGTCTATCAAATTGTCTATTAAAAAAAAAAAAACCAGCAGTAGTATGTTAAGTATATCGTTTTCTGGGGAGTTTGACGCTCGTTTGGCACGGCTCTTTCGAAACTCCCGCACCGACCTTACAGCTACGCCACGCGCGGCCGAGAGCCATCCTCCTCACACAACTAGCGGAGAGGATTGAGGAAGCGCTCAGCGGGTCACATGACCGAGAAGCGGCACGGCGATGCAAAGCGATGTCCCTCTCCCGACTGCGTCTCCGCTGCTACTATGGCTGCTACCCTCCGCATCGAGAAAGGAGTACTCTCCGCAACAGCTTTCTTTTTTCTCTATCTTCGCTCGAGGCCTTGAAAGGAGAAGGGTTTCTACGTGCAAAGACGGAAAAGGGAAAAGCGTAGCACAGGTGCGTCGCAGATCGGCATTTGAGAGTGAGCAAACAATCCGCCACAACGTTTTCTTTCTTTTTCTTCTTTTTCTTATTCGCGCGCAGCCTTGAGAGGTGCTGCCGCGGGATTGGGTATGGTGCTGAGAGCATTTTTAAAGCGCGGTATGTTTGAATTGACTGTTGCAAGTGCTTGCGCATTCGAATTAAAGGGCGTTTTCGCCCACTCGAATACACATAGCTTTGATGGGACCACAGCATGAGTTCGAATGACCCAAAAGTTCGAATTATTGAAATTCGACTGACTTTATTTTTCATGGCACACATGGTCGCGTAGCGGTACATCGGGCCGCGAGGCAGTTTCCTTCTTTGCATGGTTATACTTTGCACGCTTATGCACTGCCACAAACTGTTATAATCCATATAACGAAATAATGAAAGTAACGAAGCAATTGTGGCTCCCCTTCGACTTCGTTATAACGTGGTCTGAGTGTATAATCAAAATTCCACCGTAGGAAGAAAAGAAAACACACACACAGTAGCACACTGCTTACCCTCTGTGACTTCTGCATTTCCATCATCCACTTGTTGAGCTGCGCCTGCACCTGCGGGGACGAGGGAAAATTGACCAGCTTGTCCAGCACATCTCTGCGGTACACGTCTTTGGTTGAAAGCAGCCCGAGCTTAGGGCTCATCAACGTCTTCTTCGCCTGAGCGTCACCCCTCTCGGGGCTGAAAGACAACGCTGGCTTGATATGGTTCTCGCTTGACCCTGCCTTCTCGGTTGCCGACATTTTGTCGTCCCGTCTTTCCTGCCGATTCGACGCCTCCTTTCCTTGTGCATCTGCGTCTTCGTCTTCGGAGGAGAGGAATATTAGGTGGTTTCGACCAGAGGAAGACAACAACGATGCTGCGGCTGCGGCGGCTTCTGCCGCACTTCCCATATTCTCAACGAACTCTTTTTTCACTTGCACCGTTGTGTTGGTGACAACCGTAGAGGGTGAAGCACTGCTCCTGGCTGTGGGCCTGGGTTTACTGATGAGCTTACCAGATGACGTTGGTGAACTCGTTGCTCCTGTTTTCGACAAGCCTGCCAAAGTTTTTAGCACGTCTGGTGCTTTGCTTTTGGTAGACAGCCCAAGGTTGACCGCCGGTTTTGCCTTCCCCAAGGTACCCTTAACAGTGGGTGCCTGGGGTGACCGTTTCTTTACGCTTTTAATGGCGACCTTGTTTGGCTCCTGCACTGTAGAATCCTTTTTCTGAGAGCGGCCCGACAACGAGCCGCTCTTCACAGTGCCTTCGCTTCTCCGAGAGACCGGTTCCTTGATCGATTCAGTCACTATTGTTGCTGTGACCATCGTTTTCGGGGATCTCGCCAATGGTGGCGGCTCTCTGTTACTGATGTGCACGCTGATGCTTGACGCAGTACTCGACCTCAACCTCGTGCTCACTGCTGTGCTTGACCTGGCCGACACAGAAGATTTATCGGAGGAACTCTGCGATTTGGATGAACCGCTGCTACGGGTTGCAACTTTATCACCCTGTTCCTTATTGTCCCGAGTGGCAGCGCGCTCACCCCGACTGCCTGTCCCCGGTGCACTTTCTGGAGATTGATGACGTGACTTGCGGCCATTGTCCCTGCGATCATCATCCCTACGCACATTGTCCCAGCGACTATTGTCTCTCCGACCGTCATCTCTGCGACCATCGTCCCTGCGACTGTCATCTCTGCGACTGTCGTCCCTGCGACCGTCATCTCTGCGACTGTCGTCCCTGCGACCATCGTCCCCGTCTTTTCGACTATCACCTCTGTGACCATCGTCTTTGCTAGCACAGTCACTGCCTTGCCACGTGTCTTTGCGGCCTTCCCGGTCCCACCGATTGCTGCCTCCTTGCCACCCCCCATTTCCATATGGCTCGAAGTTGCAGTTATAGTCGTCGTTACTCCACTGGGAGTGACCGCCGGCTGGTGGGCGTTGGTTGTAACTGCGGAAGGGGTAACAAGTGCTGAACACAAAACTACACTGCGCAAAAACAAGGCCTGACAATTGAGACAGTTAGTTTGGTACTCAAATGAAAGATACAGTATGCTAGTAATGCAGCCTGGATGTTCCAGTGTCCACCCAGAGTAAACACTGAGACCAGTTCGAATTTCCAAATACCTTCTCCTAAATGTGCTGGCACATATACATGCAGATTCCAAGTTTAAAAAAGTTCTATGTAGATCGAAAATCATCACAAAGGCAATCTTATTGGCTATCAGAGAATGTTCAAGGGCATGTGGACTGTTCACGCACACTCATAGTAATCAATAAATTTCAATTCTGCATCATCACGACATACCGTCGGTTAAATTTGGGCAAAAAGCAAATATGAAGTGCATGCTTCTTACAATACATTTCGTGGATGGATATTTGCAACGGATGCGCAGCCTGCTTTGATATAATGCTCATTATGTTCCGAAGATGAAAAACTGAGCAGGCTTACACCAATTATTTTTATAAGAGGTGGGGAAAAGAAATAAGGAAATAAGGAAAAAAAACACAACTTTAACAATACTGAGCATATATATATCTTCTCTAGCATAGGTTTGATGTGCTGCTAAACTAAACTTACGAATAAGAGGACAGAGATGAGAAGCCCACTATCAATTATTTTACTAGGAATTACAAGGTTGTCTATTACTGCACATATTGCTATTACTATGTATATTAATTGGAGATTGGCAGATAATTGACTACTTTGAATATTCTAACAAACATTACAGTATTTGCATTTGTTTTAAATTCATCAAAATTTTGAAATTAACAAACATACACAAGTTTGATTGCATGTCACACCCCTGCAAAATTGGTTTCACTGCAACATGAGATTACAAGTAAAACCCCTGCGACGATGGTCTCACTGCAATGTGACCATGTTTTGCTGTGAAACACTCCAACGAGAGGACATCCGCACTGTCTTGAAGAGAGATATTGAAGGTTAAGTGCACATTTTATGTGTCAGCATCGAAATTAGGCTGAAAACTGTTATACTGGCTTATATATGCTATGTACTATACTGATTTTAAGGCATCACAAATTTACACTCATAGCTGACACCCTAGCATGCTCTAAACTTTACGGCTATGCAAAGTCGATACCACTTCTTTTCCGACTGGGAAAAAGAGGCATTCACACATGCCTACTTCCAATTCCTAAATATACTGTGCAAGTGTTCGTTGGCTCGTTAATATGTTACATACATTATTCAAACTATTTGATTCAACATTAGTTAGGTCGAACCTCGATATAACGAACATGAATACTACGAATTATTGGCTCTGTCGAACTACCAACAGAAAGTATAAAGAATTACATGTATTTTGGCATTTTTATAGCAAACGAACTCGAGCGCGCACGTTCGGCTTCTTCGCAGCACAGCGGCAGTCGGGCGGACCCGCGTTTACATCCGATGCGCTTGTAGCGCCTTACGCGGTGTAGACGGCCAATGATGATTTTTTTTTATGGCTTCCGAGATTAGCAAGCTTCACCTTCTAAGGATACGAATACGGCCGTTTACTAAAATCTCATGCACCTGAAAGACCGGTAGATTGCAGCAGCCTTGACGATCGACGGCATGGTCGCGACAGTGTGCACACCGCAATTCCGAGCTAGCGGTTGCTTTGTTGTTGTGTGTGTGTGGTGTTTTCTTCCTTCACACGTTTTTGTGGTGCTAGGCGGTGTCATACATCGTCGCCATGGCGCAAAACGGGAATAAATTAACTGTCTTGATGTATGCGACGAAACTGGAAATTATTCGGCGTGTCGAAAAAGGTGAAAAGAAGTCAGTCGTTGCTGATGCTCTCAAAATACCTCGCAGCACAATAAGCACGTTGCTGAAGCAGAAAAAGGAAATCGTTCAGGAAGATAGCGGAAAACATGCCAACGCATGGCATATTCGACCCGTTGCCTTTGAACAGGTCAAAGAATGTCTTCATAAATGGTTCATCGACATAAGAGCTACGAATATTCCTGTGTCGGGGCCAATGCTGCAGCAAAAATCAAGGTACTTAGCTTTCATACTCGATGCCAAAGATTTGAGTGCCAGTGCGAGGTGGTTATAACGATTTGTGGGAATACATAACTTTAATGTTTCCGCACTGAAGGTTCTACAACAACTGCCCCTGAATCGGGGCACACACACAGCTTTCTTGCTTCTTTCGGGCGAGAGTGTTCTTATCGCCGGTGCCCGTGTTTGGGGGCATCGCCGCGACTCGCAGGCGCAGAAGCGGTGCCAACCCGTTTTGACACACCTCTCCCCCTACGCAGATAGCAGCCGTCAGGGTTGAAGACGTTTGGGGACCCGCACCTGGCGTCCAAGGCGGGTGGTGTAGGGTGCGAGCCTAGGCGTTGCGGGGTGTTGTCGGCAAATTACGGGAGGCGTGCAGGGGTTGGAAGCTCCTGGGAAAGGATGTATGATGGCTTTAGGCAGTCGATGGAAACGCGTACATCCTTTCCACTGATTTGCAGGGTGAATGTTTTGTCGTCGCGACAGATGACTTGGTAAGATCCAGAGTAAGGCGGCTGGAAAGGTGCGCGTACAATGTCGTCGTGGAGGAAGGCATGCGAGCATGTTGCCAGGTCTTTTAACACGAACGGGGTCAGCTTGGTGTGGCGAGCCGCTGGTGAGGGGCGCAGCGCGCCCATTGTGCGACGGAGTCGAGCGACGAAGTCTGCAGGGTCCGAGCTGGTTACATCAGAGGTCGGAGCGGAGAGGAGTTCTCCAGGTAGGCGAAGCAGTTCCCCGTAGATGAGTTTAGCGGGCGTAGCTTGAATGTCTAGCTTGAAAGTTGCGCGCAGACCAAAGCGACGGCAAGGACAGCTTCGAGCCAGGTTGAGTGAGGGTGGCACATAATGGCTGCCTTGAACTGCCGGTGAAACCAATCAATCATTCCGTTGGCGCAAGGGTGGTAGCTAGTTGTTTGTGAACGCTCGAATCCGGTGGAGAGCCCGAGGAGCCTGAAGAGTTGAGATTCGAATTGCCTTCCTTGATCGGTTTTGACTCGACGAGGAGTGCCGAAGCATGAAACCCAGCCGGAGAAGAACGCTGATGCGACGTCTTCTGCGGTGATCCTTTCGAGCGGCCACTCCTCGGGCCAACGAGTGTAACGAGCGATGGTGGTGAGGCAATAGCGGTAAGGGCCGGCTGGTGGGAGGGGGCCAATGATGTCGATGTGGACGTGCTGGAATCGTTCCGTCGGGAGGGGGAATTCTCTGAGTGGCGATGTGAGGTGCCAGGTCATTTTGGCGCGCTGACATTCAATGCATGTGCGTGCCCAGGTGCGGCAGTTCCGTTGCATTGAGGGCCACGCGTACCGGTCAGTCACGAGGCGTGTGGAAGCTCGGATGCCGGGATGACTGAGGTTATGTAACTGGTTGAAGAGTCTTTGGCGATGCAAAGAAGGGACGTGTGGTCTCACTCGTCCTGTTGATATGTCACAGTAGAGAGCGTCCGTTGACCCAGGGATGGTAACTTTTTGAAGTTGAAGGGAAGAGCCATTCTCGAGGAGCTGCTAGAGTTCGGTGTCCATTTTCTGAGCTTCGGCGAGGGCATCGGTTGTAACGGTTGGTAGCTCAACAGCTGAGACGCGAGAGAGCGCGCCGGCGACCACGTTTTCCTTTCCGCTGATATGGTGGATATCTGTGGTGAATTGAGCGATGAAGGACAGCTGGTTCTGCTGGACCGGCAGAAGTTTTTCGCGGCATTGGGAGAAGACTAAGTGATAGGTTTATGGTCAGTGTATATGGTGCAGTGCTGTGCCTCGAGGATGTGGCGAAAGTGTTGGACTGCTTCGTAGATGGCAAGGAGCTCTCTGTAGTAGGCTGGCCATGTCGTCGCTGCAGGGGGCGAGGTTGCATTGCCGATGTTGCCGGAAGACGGGGGCGGCTTCGGGGAAGAGAGTTTCTATGAGAAGAACGCCAAGGGGCGCCAGTTGTTTCCCACACGCTGTATGAGAGAGGCTTCTACGGCGGTTCTAGAGGCATCTGTGAAAAGACCCAGGGGCGCCTCTGGCTTGGGATGGGAGAGCAGCGCAGCGCTGCAGAGGGCAGTTTTGCAGTCTTCGAACGCTTGCGTTAAGGCTGGGGTCCAAGTGACATGATGGTTGCCGCGTTGGCCGGCCAACGCATCATGGAGAGGGGCCTGATATGTGGCCGCTTTAGGTACGAAGCACCTGTAAAAGTTGAACATGCCCAGGGAACGGCGGAGGTCTTTTGCTGTGGCAGGCAACACGTAATTTTGCACGGCCAGCTTGCGGTCAGGCAAGGGTCTAGTTCCTTCTGAAGAGATTTCATGGCCAAGAAACGTGACGACGGGGGCGCCGAGTGCGCTCTTCTGAACGTTTATGAGTAAGCCGTGTTCGTCGAGACGCTGGAGCATTGACGAAGGTGTTGGCGATGTTTCGTTTCGTTGCGGGAGAAGATCAAAATGTCGTCTAGGTAGACAAAACAGAAGTCCAGGCCGCGGACGTCGTCGTCGATGAAGCGTTGAAAGGTTTGCCCCGTGTTGCGGAGACCAAAACTCATGAAAGGGAATCCGAATAGGCAGAAAGGGATGATAATTGCGGTCTTTGGGACGTCATCCGTGTTTACAGGAATTTGAGCATAGGCCTTTATGAGGTCCACCACTGAGAAGATAGTGCTGCCGTCTAAGCGGTGTGCAAAGTCCTGTATATGAAGGACGGGGTACCTGTCGGGGACGGTGCGGGCATTGAGGGCGCGATAATCTCCTCAGGGGCACCAGCCATTGGTCTTCTTTGGTACCACATGAAGCGGTGAGGCCTAAGGTCCCTCGGAGCCGCGGGCAGTACCTTCGCGGAGCATGGCTTCGAATTCGGCCTGTGTGATTCGTAGGCGGTCAGGGGCTAGCCGACGGGCACGGCATGAGACTGGGGGGCCGGGAGTAGTATGAATGTAGTGCACGGTTGAGTGGCGCACCTCTTGCGGACGCCCGCTAGGTCGAGTCAGGTTGGGAAATTCTGCGAAGATGTCATGGTATGGCGACCGGATCCCAGTGGTGGGTGCCTTGACGTTAGGATGTTGGGTGGTCGCATGTTGGCCCTGAGTGGAGAGGCCTGTTGTAGTGTCGATAAGTCGGTCATATCGGCAGTCAGGTAGAAGATTGCAGTACGCCAAGAAGTCAGACCCGATGATCGGCTCTGCGACGTCGGCGATGACGAAATTCCATGAGAAATCTCGACACAGGTTTTTGAAGTTGATGTTAAGGCGGAGCGAGCCGTAGGTCTTGATGGTCAAATGGTTCGCTCCGCTGAGCTCAAAGGACGTGCAAGGACGCTTGTCACGCAGGAAGGTTCGGGGAAAGCAACAGATGTCGGAGCCACAGTCGACGAGGAACCGCCGCTTTGTGACTTGGTCGGTGACAAATATGTGACGACCTCTAAGTTGGCAGCTCGCAGCCGTCTCTACGGGCTGCCATTAAAGTTTCCCTGACGTCCAGCTGAGCAAGATGGTTGACATTTCCAGGCTTTGTCCCCGAAGCGGCGACGGTAATAGCAGGGGCCGTTATCATTTCCGTGCGATAAAGCGGCGTTGTTGTCTTGGCTTTGAGAGCGTTCTTGTAGACACAGCTTCGGGCTTTCATCCAGGCGCCTTTGAATTGAGTCCAGCTGACTGGTGATTGCGTCGACACAGGGCGCGAGCTCGCTGCCGGACTGTCGGGTGTCAACGGCATTGACGGTGAGAGGCAATGCTGGCAATGAAATTTCGACGACTTGATCGGCGGTGTGAGAGAGCTGGTCCAGCGGCAGATTCGGCTGCACCTGGAGGATGGCCTGCGCATGTGAGGGTAGACGCTAAAGCCAGATGATACGGAGGAGTGAGTCGTCGACTGGGGTGCTGCCCAAGAGGTCACGCATGTAACGCAGGAGCTGCGATGGCTTGCGGTCACCGAGTTCTTCGTGCTGGAATAGGTGACGTACCTTCTCGTCTTGTGAAGGTGAAAGCCGGCGGATCAGTTTCCTTTTCAGGTGTAGGTAACAGTCATCAGCCGGGGAATTCGCAAGTATATCGCGAACTTCAGCTGCATAGCGAGAGTCTAGATGGGCGTAATCATAGCGCGTCCGGTCCTGGGTGATGCGTGCCGTGAAAAACTGCGCCTCGACTTGAGGGAACCACACGTCAGGCGCCTCTGCTTAAAATGGTGGAAGTTTGACGGCGATGCGATAGACATCCGTGTCGGTGGCGGCCGCAGCAATGGAGACGCCCGAGATGACAGGGACCGCTGGAGCGAAGTTTTGGGGGGCGTGGCCCCCCAAAACTTCTTCTTTCGGGCGAGAGTGTTCTTATCACCGGCGCCCGCGTTTGGAGGCATCGCCGTGACGTGCAGACGCAGAAGCGGCGGCGACCCGTTTTGCCACAGATTTAAGAACCCGTACGACATCGTGGGAAAAGCTGTTCTGGGCGAAAGCGAGTCGGGGAATGCCGCAGCAATGGACAAGAGGATGAAAGAAGAGTGGCCTCAAATTCGTGCCAGATATCATCCAAAATATATTTTTAACACGGGTGAAATGGGCCTTTTCTGACAGATGCTGCCGCGCCAAACTTTGGACATCGGCGGGCAGAAATGTCATAGTGGCAAGCAAAACAAGGCCCAGATCACGGTCCTACTTGCCGCGAACATCGATGGCTCGACAAAACTTCATCCATTCGTGATTGGCAAGTTCAAAACGCCGAACTGTATGAGACGCTGCCGCGACCTACCAGTCACTTATGCTTCCAATTGAAAGTCATGGATGACACGAGTTGTTTGGGAAATGGCTGAGGAAGTGGGATACGCAGCTTGGGGATGAAGGCAGGAAAGTGTGTCTTCTCGTCGACAGCTGCTTGGCACATTCCACAGATGTTCCATTGAGCAATATTGAGCTCAAGTTTCTTCCGCCCAACACCACCTCCAAGCTCCAGCCTTTAAACCAAGGGATCATCCGCGCTTTCAAAGCGATTTACAAGCGAAGGCTCATCAAGCGGCTGCTCATTCATCTTCGAATGAACGAAGACCTGAAAATTGACTTGTTGGTTGCCATACAGATGTTGAAGGCTGCTTGGGAGAGTGTGAAGAAAGAGACGATCGCGAACTGCTTTCGGCACGCTGACTTCATCGTTGGCACTGAGGCAGTTGAAGAGCCTACTGATGATGTTGAAGGCTCTGAAGAGGTTGTCGAGCTCGACGATATGTGGAGCGATTTTTTGCGGTTTGTGGGCGATGCATCTGACACCCTTACACTGGACGACTTCGTTGGCAATGACGAGGCGTCGGAAGCGGTTGCCGAACTGAATGACGTGGAAATCGCTGCCGAGGTGACACACCAGCGAACCGGTATTCGAGCAGCGGAAGTTGAAGATGCCGTCTTCGAAAACATTCCGCTGCCAACTTCCAGCGAGGCTTTGGCTGGTGTTGCTCAGGCGCGGCGCTATTGAGCGTGATAGAAGGCACCGGGCTCAAGTTTGTAGAATGCCTCAACATGGCAGAGCAAGGCATTACACGACACGCCATCAACAACAACAACAACAACAAAAAAGACAAGCCGCGGTGCACAGGTTTTTTTTGCCTCAATAAATGTATTTTTGTTCAAGTAAGTGTCTTGTCAATTCTGTCATGCTGCCGACCTATTCACACCAGGGTTTGGCGATTTTTTGGTGCAGTTTTGTATAGCGAATTTGGGCTATAGCGAACTATTTTGCGAATTTTCCGCAGTTCGTTATAACGAGGTTCGACTGTACACCAAATTACTTATTGACTTGGAATTCGCTTCATACCACAAATATAGTATTCACCCATCTCTAATATTAAGAACCTAAAGGTTCGCCATTACTACCTTAAACGTAACATTAGGCTGGGCAGGATTCCTCATGAAATTTATGAGGACGTTCACGTGTCCAATCCAAAGCCAGCGACACAAACTTTGGTCTGCATGGCAAAACCAGCCAGCTACTGTATTTACTCGTGTAATCCTCGCACACGCATAATTCTCGCACCTTCCACATAGCCCAAGAAAAATACAATTTTTTTTACCGCGAGTAATTATCGCACCCTCGAAAACTGCCACAATAAGGTCATCTGCTAGTTCCAGCCACTGATGATGATAGCGCGTGCCATCTCTTAAGCATCTAGCGTACTATTGCACGAAGATTCAATCCTATCCAAGCCAAGCTGAAGTGGCCAGTGCGCGTTGCGGCTTGTTTTCTTTGTTGTGTCGGTAATCTTGGCACGTAATGGGGCGATACTGAAGCTACACGGCTGCTTCAAGTTGCAAGTGATAGATCATGCGCAAAACAGCGGCAACAGGGCCGCCGGTAGGCCCTTCGGAGCCTACGAGTTTTGTGTTCGCTACTGGTGACGGCAGTTGAAATCCACCAAGACGCGTTGGGCCTGCCATGTGCCTAAAACTTGGATTGATGGTAAACTTTATTTCTTCAGTAGGAAACTGAGGACAATTCTATTAAATAGCTATCATCTCAATACTGACGTCCCACGCTTACCTTTTGAGGGCTCCTGTTGAGCAATGAACGCTATCACTACGCCCGCAACGCCCACAAGCTTTGCGTATGTTATTCTAATTCTCGACTATTTGCTTCCACTTTTTGTGTCTCAAATAAATCTTGTCCTGTGTTGAACCTCTGCTTTTATTGTTGAGGTAAGTACTAATTAGTACTTCTTAAAGCTTGCTGTAAGTTGCCGGTGTGAGATTCCCGATTTGCGGCCACTTCTTTTTCTTTTTCGCTCTCTACGTTTTTGTGGAAAGTTTTCCCCGCGTAATTCTCGCACCCCCCAACTTTGCATCGATTTTCCGGCAAAAAAAGTGCGAGAATTATGTGAGTAAATACGGTATGTTAAATACTTGAGCAGCATGTTATGTCACAAATATGAAAATGAGTAAGTGTTATTGGACTAAACTTAAGCCAATTCTCTGCGTAGGGAGAGCTGACATTTTTTTTAGTTTGAAACTCAGGGTAAAAGTGGGTAAAACTTCCCCTGAACAATTTGGCAAATTTCCCATGCACATTGGCTTCATTGCATTTTTAATCATACTTACGCATCGAAAGGTGACCTGGAATTGTCGTACCGGTTGTACGGCTGCGGCAGCGGCGGAGGGGTCTATTCCACATACAATTGCCCCGCCCGCGGTAGCCCCTAAAGGGGCCACCTCGGTTGTATGGGGCCATCGGGAAACGGGGCGGCCCGTTCCAATTCCTGTTCATTTCGTAGTCGTCGTCGTCGATGTCACTGTCCACGTGCTCCTCTACCGAAAGTGTATCAGCCTCGAAGGAGTCGTCCTTGGAGGCAGGGTTGTCGGCGTAGTCTGCCGATTTCCGACGGTGCGTCGAACTGCTCCTGCTCCGACCGACGGACGCCCTCTTGCTCGCCTTGCCTCTATAATCGGCAGATGGGTCCCTCCTGGAGCGCTTATTTGGCTGCTGAAAGAAAAGCGTGTGGTAATGTTTAATGCAATCTACTCATGCAACAACAAAAAAGGTCGCAGGAACCCTCGTCGCGTGTTCAAGGTACCCTTCAACCCTCTTTCAGCGTGGTTAGGTAACCGCTAGTCGAGGCTCTTGAGAACATGTGTACCAACCATAACAGCGCAGTACGTAACTTGGAACTTACTGTTATTTTTTTAAAGTAAGCAGGAGATCCCTCCCTTTTGCCTTTATTAACGATATCATTCATTAAAGTTACTGCGCTCTATATCTCAGCCTAGGACTGCTGACTGATTTCAGTTTTGCCATTTGAATGGTTAATATGACTACCACGTGTCCCCCCCCCCCCTCTCCACCTGATGTGCTTGCAATCACACCTGAAAGTAAGCCTCGTGTTCAAAGAAACAACAAAAAGAAAGCGCTCAAGGTCAAGATGCGCACTAAGAAAGGACACATCTTTTTGACCCCTTCTTGATCCCTCGTCCCTACGTAGCTTTCAGTATGCTGGGCACGCTGGTACGAGAAGAGAGAGAAAGCACTTGACGAGCGCGGCAAATCCTAGTAACTTCGCTCGTACTTGACGAATTCTAAACATTTTTCCTGCAGTTGAATCGTGAGGCAATTAAGCTCTTCTAACGAAGGTATAACATGCTTCTTTTGAAAAGTGCTGCAAGGCCCTTTAATGGTGAAAGGCACTATGTCGATGTGCTTAAGAATGTTTTAACAATTACCTCTTAATTATTCTCAGCTACTTTCGGTTTCTTGTTAGTTACTCTCAGTCGCTTCTTTCTTCTGCCTATAGCAATTTAGTGGACATTACATATCTTGCACACCAGAATCTGATCACAATAACATTGCATCTTACACGAAAATAAGTTCGTTATAACCAAAATTTTATTGTCAAGGTTTATATCTGACACTATACCTATTGCAAGACAATTTTCATTTACTTGTTATAACCGGAATTTCATTATATCCAGTTTATATCGAGGTTTGGGTGTATAGTTAAACCCCTTTATAAGAGGCATGCTCCGTGCAGCAATTCTTCTGTTTTCTGTAAGAAATCTATTATAAGCAGGGTATCTTGTATGCATTTTCTTATTAACTCGTATTTTACTGTAGGCACAGTAGTGTCTTTTATACCCATCTTTCTTTTATATCAGTGTCTCTTATAAAGGGGTCCAACTATAATACATGGAGCATCGAGGTGTGCCTGTTGCTTCTTTGCTTCGACACTCAGGCGACGTAACAGAAACAAAAAAACCGCTGGGGCTTTAGGTGCCAAATCCACATCACCACGGCCCATTGTAGGATAGGGGGAATGGTAAATTAATTTCGATAGATGGGGTTCACTAACGTGCATCTATCTAGGCATGTGGGTGTTCACTGTACTTCACTCACATCGAAGTGGCACCGCCATCGCCTCAGGCTCAGTTGAAACCGGCCGTTCGAGCTTAGCAGCTCTGCATGCTAAGCTAACCCCAGTGAATCAAACCCGCAGTGAGTAGGCCGCCCAACATCTTAGTGGCGTGTCACCTTTTATGCTAAGTTACCTTGGTGGATCAAATGAACAAAGAGCGGTTCAGTGCAGGCTCATTCCTATGCAAAAGTTTTTTTTCCACACATCAGCTACCCGCCACTACAGCCTAATTGTTATGGTGCATAACTATTGAGCTGAAGTTAACGGAATTTCAGCCCTGCCACCAGTGGCCACGGTTTGCTGGAGGCGAAGTCCTAGAGGCCCGTGTATTTAGATTGAGAAGCAAGCTAATAAATTCCAGGTGGTCAAAACTTCTGAAGCTCTCGGCTATGGTGAGCCTCATATTCATACCATAATTTTTGGCACAAGAAAACTTCGACAATAAAAGCAGGCATCAGATGTGAACACTGGATAATCAAGCCTCTCCAAACAATCTAAATCCTATCACAATTATTTAAAGGTGCAAAATACAATGACGCGAAGGTGCACCTTTGAAATCATGAAAACTGTGCAACAACGGCAAATGCAGTGAACTCACAGCGTCTTCGTAGTCCTGCGAACCGGCACGTTTTGAACTTTGGTGCCCTTGCTTCCCGCGCTTGGTGGCTCGATCGCCGTTTTTGACGACGACTGCGCTCTTTATTGGCTCCTTGGACCTTCCGTGCAGATTGGATGCTGAATTTTCGATTTTCTCGCCACTGGAAAGTTTCTCCGCCTTGCTAGCTCTGTACGACCACGTTGGGGTCTTGCTCTGTCTAAGGCTCGGCTCAGCTCTGGATGCTTGCTCCCATGCTAAACTAAGCAGGGACGAGGGGAAGAAGGTTTAAGACACGCGCAGAGATGATGGCTCGGCAAAAAAGGAATGCCACAAAAATGTTACAAGCATGCCAACATACACACTAGGGTTGGGAGTGGTAGCCCTGAAGACAAGACTATGTGCCGAAATGTTTGGAGCCAGCGACACCCATATTTCATATTTCACTTACATATTTTCCAGAACTTCTGCCATCTTGAAAGTACCTTTACAGCTACTATCACACAGAATCCACAGTCTTCAAGTTGTATATTTTTATACAGTAATAAATTAGACTCTAGAGCACATACAAAGTACAGACGGCATTCACAGCCTGTTACATGGGAACAGCCTGTTACGTGGAAACAGGAGGAAAATGGGCAAGAAGAATATAACATGTATTGCAAACACCATATTCATCTGTCAAAACTAGGCCTGTGCAAATATTTGTGGGCCTTCAGTATTCGAACGAATAGTACTGCATTTGATCTTGTTTCAACCTGATTGATTCCTTAAATTTCCTTTGAGCGGTTGCGGCAAGACACTGATTTATGTGAGCTTCCCTTCACCGGAGTACCCAAGATCCCGGAGGCAAGAATAGACGCTTTCGTGGTTTACCTCCACAGCACCGAGTGCCGCCACACTTTCTGATGCCAGACCAATGCTAATATGCCAATAAGACCACTTTATGTAAAGAACTTGTGTTGCTCTGTGATTGATTCAAGAGACATACACTACTGGCTCAGTGAGTCTGCAAGAAATTTTCAAAACTACTTCGGGACCCTTAAGCTACCTTCACAAAAATTGCCAGAAATTGATGAATTCAAAAATATAAGAAGTATGACCACATATCTGAAACACTGCATCGAAGACAGTGCTATTCTGTGAACTACCAATGTTACGGCACCTGAAGTGGAAGAGCTTGATGAGCACGTTACACCAACCAAAATGTTGCAATTTTATATTATATATTCTTGGAGAATCCTAGCTAGAAGAAAGCAGAATGAAAATAGAAAATTCGTATAGGCTCCACACCCTACTAGGGAAGCCTTCATATTTTTTAAGGAAAAAAAAAAAAACTTACAAGAACAATGAGAGGATGTCGAATTGTCAATAACGTATTCCAAGTAATGCCATGTACTTTAATCAACGAATCCCTATAACTGTTAGGCGTTTCACCGGTGTCACACGGCCACTTTCAATCGCACTCAGTGCCGATCTGAATTGTACTTTATCATGACAATAATGGTTGCTGCTGCATAATCCGATCAAAAGTAGCCCTATGACACTGGTATTAGAGGTTTTTAGCAAGGTACAGAAACACGTTACAAAAATAGGACACGGCTCCTTTCCATATGTGCGAACGTTGTTCGCGCACGCGCACTCGTCAGCCGATTTCGTATTGCCTCTTTTCGGTAACGTGTTTCCGTGGCTTGCTAAAAAAGCTCCATCAACACACACATGTGCTACCAAACAAGGTGTAAGCAGCAGCGGCAGCGACAGCAAATCCAGCGCAACAGCAAAGCCAATTTTGCACTCTGTATTGCTGAAAAAGTAAACTCGTTAGAAGGACTGTTGCTTTTTTTGGAGGCGTTTGTAAACTGAAACAGAAGCGTATTCAGCACAAGCTAACAAGAACATAAGAGAGATGACACCACAAGTGCAATGTGGCGTCCGCTCTCTTACGTATTTGTCTGCTAGCGCTGTATAGGCTTTCAAATTCACTAAAAGAATAGCATTCACATTTGCAGTCGCTTGCGACCACAGAAGAATCCATCAGATTAGAGAACATAATATACTCATAGAAGAATGACACAAAATGGCCCAGTCCTGAAAGGTTACAGCTCAGAAAAAGTTAAGAGACGAACAATAATAAATACAGCTATAACACAAGCCAACACGGTAGTTGATGCAGACACGTGACTGAATGATGTGGCAATTGTTCCATGCTTTGGAAGCACCTGATATTTTCGGGACGCTCTATTTCCATTGCAGAGTTGAAAAATTCGGAATGGTGGCTTTACATTACATTTGAGGCCTTAATAACATTGAAGAAGAAAAAAAAGTGGCTACAAAATAAAAAACTCTGCTTTCTTAATTCGCTGTAGCTTCACTTTCTTTTTTTTTTCTCCATAAATGCAACAAATGACTAAACTTAGCATGACGGATACATCATGAAACTATTTTTGTCGTTCCCAAGCACTTACAAGCAAACTCTTGAGGTAAAGCTTGACCATAGGAACTTCAAGGGGAAGCGCGTCTATAGAGTTATTAAGCTGCCACTGTGGCTCCGAAATTTCGTGGCTCCGTCTTGGCATAACAATGTTAGCTCAGTTCGATTCACCCACACAACTTAATCGGTTCGTGGTGGGGCGCAAGAATTTCAGAAAACAGTTCAGCTCAAGTTTTGCGGTGCAGGCATACAGAACCTACCTAAACAAGTGGCAAGGTGCCAACACGGTGCAGGTACCAAGTTTCTCCCTTTTAAAACATGTCCTTTACGTAAATTTGATAGCTCTGGAACAGCCCTTGTGGTCTATTTGTGGAGTGCACACACACTCGACGTAGCGAAACACAACAGATGCATATCAGCAGGGGTTCCGTTGTGCCCTACACCTGTCAGTAGTGCGCATCCGCTGCTATGCTGTTGCTTCAGAACTTCACATTTGCTCGTCGTCGGAGAAAGTGCAGGAAAATCACGAACCAGTCCCTTACACTTTTTGTAAGTGAGCGGTGTGGTTCAGAGAACACTACTGCAACACTGTTGAAGCGAACAGGCACGCAACACCTCACGAACCGTGTTTATGCCGTGCAGGCAAATCGGACGGACCTTTCTGTTAGTGTAAGCAGCAGACGAGATGCCGGGTGAGAAGAGACAGAAGCTATCGGAGTGAGAGGGAGAAGATAAGAATGACCGATTTCACACCGGCCAGGCATTCACCCACGTTTCCTTGTACTTGTCAAGCGCCCGCTGGTGTTTGCGGCCGCGCACGTGGTCGTTGAAGTTCTGCAGCGGCCCTGCTCTCTTCTTGCAGAGGTCGCAGACGTGACACCACGTCCTGAAACACAAATGTGACATTGTGTTTGGCTCGAGTATCTTTTCCGTCCTAGGTCATGTGCTTCTAAAATCTGTAAGAAGAATGCAGCGTTCAGGTGAACGTGAACGCCGACTCGTTGATGATGACCTACAGCGCTTAGCAGATGAAGACAGAGAAAAAGCTTCTCTGGGATTACATGTGATGTACAGCAAAATGATTCAAACTATTAAAGTGGACCTGAAACCCTTTTTGAAGTAACCATGCAAGGGACTCGCTGAAAGAGCTGATTGCCTCACGAATTCAACGCCGCAAAAATTTGAGAAATCCACCGAGTACAAGCTGAGTTACAAAAATTTGTCGCACACAGCAATTGCATCCTCTGTTCTCTCATCCCAACGAAAGCGCAGGAAGCAAGCAGCGGGGAATGACAGGGGCAAAAAAAAAAAAACGTCATGTGCGCCTCGTGACCTTGAGCCCCCTCCCCCCCCCTTTTTTTTCCTTCGAATATGCAGTGTGATCGCGGGCGCACGCATGGACAAGTCGAAGCCTCTCGCAGCGATCCCCGTAACGACCGAGTGCACGATATTCAAATCAGCTAATATCTGATAGATCGTCTTCTATCAGTGATTTTTGAGCGTCTCCCGTCACTTGTCGAGGGAAGAGGAAGTAATTTTTAACTGACTTCGATCATTTATTCTGAATCACAGGCCGTGTGCTGCGCTATAATATTTGGCTGGTGTGTTCTTTGGAGATTCTACTACCTTTAGCAGTGTTTTCTGACCATGCTCAAAAAAAGTTGCAGGGCCCCTTTAAAGTTATGCTGCAGAGTATGGAGAGCCAAAGCGTGTGAATCACGTGACATGCATCATATGCTTTCGGACAGACCCTTTTCCTTGAGACGATATCTTGAGGGTTGTAAACTGGCTAAAGTGGGCTATCCCTGAAGGCAGTGCTACACTACTAGTCACTTCACTACCACGAAGCCTAAGAAACGTACAGACAAAACCATAGGTCTGGAAAAAAACAGAATGGAAAGGATTTCTAAATTAAAGGAATTGTGCACTTTGCCCAGATGTTTCTTGCACAAGCATTATTCAAGTAGTGTTTGTCATTTTACTGCATTAGCTCCGTAAAAATGATGTCATCAATCAGCACAGCCGTAAATTAGCTAGATGGGGCTACATACAGGCTTTTTGTGCAATATAGGTGGCTCTTTGAGTTTTTCATTATACAAAGCGTGTTTCAGTAAGAGAAGTGCCTGAATGATAGACGAAGAATGCTTTGCATAAAAAAAAACTGCAGTCTGCCATTGGAAAAGCGAATAAAGTACCATAGTTACATATTAGAAAACTCGTATTCATACATTTGATGCAAGCATTGTTGTGTCTGTGCATGCATAACCTGCACCATGGTGATCCTACAAGGTCACAGACTGGTATGAAACACCAGCTTTAATTCTCTCTAGCTTCATTTAATCCCTGTGTACGCGAGCGTTGCATTGTTGTCTCTCAATGAGAACTTTCAACAAATAGGCAAATAATTAGAACCTAGTGCATAGTTATTACACTGCTGGACACCATTTCTCGTGAGACTCTGTACAATATAAGCACCTGCACATGCCTTGAACTTAGCATACTAGTGCCTACGACGAGGTGAAACGCTTATAAGCTCCTTCGAGGAAGTTTCGAAACCTATCGTCGTAGTAGAATTGCACTGCAGAAGCAAACTATCGCATTTGTTAATTTCATATCGACACCAAACTGCATATCCCACTCGGCTTCTCAATATACAGAAATGAAGTGAGAGGGGCATATTCACAATAGTCTCAGCCCCGCCGTGGTGGTCTAGTGACTGAGGTACTCGTCTGCTGCATTTCTGATGGAGGCGAAAATGCTGTGAACCCGTGTGCACAGATTTGGGCACACATTAAAGAACTCCCAGGTGGTCGAAATTTCCTGGAGCCCTCCACTATGGCCTCTTTTTGGGACGTTATACCCTACATATCAATCAAATCACAATAATCTCCGTACTATTCCCCATTATACTACTATTATGCCCCCATAACTGACGGAGTTTCCTCCGGTCCTTAGCTGTGACAACCCCTCCTTGGTGCTCATTTTGTCAGCTGTAACCAAATACTGGCTATATGTCCTTGTAATGACCTACCAAGCTTCAATTTTGCTCAGGAAGTAACCTACAGCATCAGCTACCCAATTTCAGTGTGGAGCACTTAAGGACCTAGATTGTTCGTCCATTTTATGTGGCATCATGAAGCTCACTAGTGACGTGCTCAAGAGAAGCCAAAATGAGGCTACCGGTTCTTAAACTATGATCAAGTAGAATGAACAGGGGCTCAAAAAATTAAATTAACAAAAATAGCCAGGAAGCAATCTTATATCAACTTAAGATCACTAAAATGGTTTGGAAACATGCAGCTGACTCTGACAGGGCACAAGGAAGAGTGTCACTGGCCTCGCCGAGCAAGCGAATGCTCTTTCTGCCGCACTGCCTCTGCACCAGCACAGTGCTGTGCCACTGCGTCGCTACGTGACATCTGACCGGCGAAACAACCCGATGCACGTCACTGCCGATGACGAATATCTCAACGGCCGTAACGAGTGGGAAGTCAATAAAGCACAGCAAAGAAGTGGCACACGTGTCGTACACCGAATTAGATTACAGATTACGCTCATGCCAGTGAAAGCCTATATACCTGCCTCAAACACTGGCGTCAATGACATTTTGATAAACGGAGCAGCGGGAACTCTGTAAACGGCTATCGCTAGGTGACACTGTGACACAATGGTTCACGTTTCACAGTAGTGGAAGTGCTATACATTTTGTTTAATGATCGACTGGGCTATTTCCTACTTCTTAACATTAGTATGGATAAATTAAGATGTGGACCTAACACTCTAAATCAGATTTTTACCCCTCAAATCTTCTGAAGAGCAAAGCTGCAAGCTCAAGGTAAAATAGATGACCAAAAAGCTATTATCATCACGACCGGGCATGTGCCACAGAAATTGGCAAATTCCACAACTCAAGACCGGTTCACTAGAAATGAAGAAGGCAACGGACAAGCAGTGAGCACCAATTAACATTTCTAGACAGACATAACTAGCAATTGGGGAAACCCTAATTAACTGTAAGGATAGCAGCATAACCACCATGCTATCTAAGCACACTGGCCTTGTGCAGTACACTATAGCAAGTGGGCGGGAAAAGGAAGCGAGACTGAGGAGGAGGGAAAAGAGGGTAGATAATATAGCATAGGAGGGAAGGAAAAGAAACAGAAGAATGAGGCAAACACTGAGAATCAAAGAAAGCTATAAATAGCATAAAAAACGCTGAAAGAGATAAATTTCGAGAAAGTAAGGGAGGACAAACAGAAAGATAAAGAAGAGAAAGAAAGAGGAATAGAGAAAAACATGGAAAGGAAGTAACTGGCGTTAAGCCAGGGGCACAAGTCTTGACGCATACACCTACTAGATCATCCACTTCCACCTTCACCGATTGGTTGGAGCTCGGTGAGCAGCACACCTTGTTGCCGGTGCCTTCTTCCGCAACATCACTTTGAGACCACGAATCTTTCGCAACTCTCGACACATATGAAAAAGACGAGACGGTTAACTCCAACGAATGCTGCCCCCCCCCCCCCCTCCTTTTTGGGCCGTACGTGAACTCCAGTCACGTTAGCCCTTGAATTAGGCTTAACGCGATTGCCCGCACGATGCACCTAGAAGGTTGGCACACATCTGTTGCATCCTTCTGAAACATCTTGACATGATCACAAGCAAGTTTGGCGTGTCAAGTTAGTTTAAGTGTCCTGTTGCTGTACCTTTCATCTGCTATCATTCTCTTTAAACTGGGAATTCACTGGTGGATTCTGGGGGTCGATGTGGTCAAAAGCGGCATGAAATCACTATTCGCCGATTTTTTTTTTTTTCTTTTTCCGAGTAATTGAACAAGCTCTCCAAAAGTGAGGATCCACTAAATGAATGCATCAAGAGCGTGCCAGAAGAGTTGAGCATCGAGCAGTTGAGGCCAAGCTTTGCGTACCTTAGTGCAAAGTCCATACATCTTTTTTATTTTAAATATGCAATTAATGCACGGCTCACGGGCATACTGTGTTTATCCATGATTTTAAAGATGATTGTCACAACTTGATTCCTTTGTGCCATGCCTGACAGTGCGTTGCCATGGGAACTAAGCCACCATGATTGTTGGCACGAAATAAAGCGTAGCACTAAGTGGGCTTCCAGAACAGACTACGAGAGTGTTAGCACTCACGAGTTACTCTTCTCCGCAAGTCTTCTGTGGTGCTCCAAGGAGAAACTATGCTGAAACAACTCCTGCAAAGAGACACAATGCGAGAAATGAATCTGAGCGTGTGTCTGCGAAACAGCAGGGCATCAGCATTCTATACAATCACTTGCAAGTCTTAAAGGTATTGACAACTAATCTTTTTCCACCCGTTTTTTTTCCCAGCGTGACAGTTGGCTTACCCTTTGTAGTGTTCGTAGCTGCTGTAGTTATCCGAAAAGGAAATATTTTAAAAGCAGTATTTTTTTTATCTCTGAGGCTCTGAACAGCGATGCCCCATTTTGTCCAGCAACGCTGAGAATTGATAGCGATGCCGGTAGCCCTTCTAGCGACTTGTGCATGCTGTTGATGTTTTGCTTACGCAGGAGTTCCTCCAACTATGCTTAACTATGTTTATTCTGAACTTCACATCTAGTTTTGAAAATAACAAGCCGTTACAATGAGACTTCATACGGCTTCCCTGTTTTTGTGCCGCGTTGCGTGGGCCTGTGTCATAAACGGCTTGTCCCGTCATTACTCTTTCGACACACGAGCCAAGCCAAGTCACCGAAAAGGTCACTGCGCATATGCGCAATCACGCCGAGTAGCAGTGCGCGTCATTTCTGAGACAAAGAGTAGGTGGAAAAACCACATCGCTCCAAAACCTTAGCGAACTGGAAACTGCGTGCACGGGTACATGAGCACACAGGAAAGTTGTTCAAGATGAGCTGACAAACATGGGATCATCGCACCACGCTGAAGTAGCGCCACTTAAAGGCCTGCTACTTGCGCAGGCCTACATGAACATCGTTATAGAGTAATATCTTTTACTATAAAGAAGCGAACAATATTTCAATGTTAACAAGAATATTGTTGACCGCATGCACTATTCAACGATGACGTGACAAGGTATGTAGAAAATTTAGGTTTATGCCACTAGAGGCTACTATTTGCGATTTTCAATGAATAAATAAAAATATATATATATCTCCACTTTTCACTAGAAAAAACAGGGTTGGTTTGAGTCACTATGAGAGACATTCTTTCCATCTGTGCAACCATCTCATTTCATGTTCTGGGCTGGTCCCTTTATCGTAGATCGCTTGCTGGACCTGCAAACGCCTACAATACGTTGTTCATTGAATTCGAAGCTTCACACTGACTCTATTTCCAAATTCTATAACAATCATCGGTAAATATGTCATGATGAGTTCTTGTTCCGCCTTATGCCTTAAGGTGAAATGTCCTTTTATCATGCAACGTTGGTTATTTATGCTTGAATTGGCATTGCTGTGTCATTCAGGTGCTGAGGTTGTGTCCACCTGGGTTCATGCAACCCTGAACTCGGAATACAAAGTTCTATACAATTTGAACAGTGATATAGCAATACGTAAAGGAGACACCATTACTTATTCTGTTCCGGTACAGTTTTGTGGACTTCACTGCAATGCTAAATACAAAGCTCACAAAAGAACTGATGGAAGTCCTTCGTATTGCTAACTTTTCCAGCACTGAAATATCGACTGTGTGGGCTGTCTTTGCTAGCCCCACCTGACTATGCAATAAGACAACGTTGAACAGGCAATGCTACAGGAACAGGTTGGCGAACTCACTCATGACTTGACGCACTTCGACCGAGCTGCGAGTCTGAGCGAGTCCAGGTGAATAATATTTTGCTGAGTTGGAATAGAAGCTAGTCTGGAAGTGAAAAAATTTGACGAGTCTAGGTCCGAGTAAGCCATAAGCGCAAGATATATTTCTTGAGCAAGTCTGACCGAGCTGTACGCTTTTTTGGCGATCTGTGGTTCTGTTTAGTCAACTTCAGCATCATTATTAGCCTTACATTTGCTCACGTTTCCACTCACGCCGGCGCATTTGAAAGCGTTTGAATGCCGGCTAATTATTTATTGATGAGTGGCATCAGCTTTAAAGGAGGGGGTGCCCCCTTTACCCCGGCAGAAACTTTTCTTGGGAATTCTTGATAAAAATATATCACGCGAGCCCTCCCTTTCAATGAAAATGTCCTCAATAAATTACAACCACTGATATCACAAATTAAAAAAAAACACAGTTAAAAAAAATCACAGCATATCCACGGAGTAAATGATGACAAGTGAGGCGACGCGTCCATCAGCCCGTCCGTGCTTCTGTCCATTTGTCCGCGCGACCATCTGTGCGTCCATCCATGCATCCGTCCGTCCGTATGTCCATCTTCTAGTCTGTCCGTCCGGGAGTTTATCTAGTGAACGCTCAATGTACCAGCATCTCGCATCCCCTGTGGCACATACCCGTTCTGCACATCTATTCAACCATACATCTAGTGAACACTCCAAGAACTGCCACCTCCCATCCCCTGTGGCACATGCCCGCTCCAGAGCGCGTATGTGCCACATGTGGTTATGGGTGGCTACGTACGACACCAATGGAGGAAGGACAGACCCACACCCTAAGGAGCTTCGGCTCTAAAAAATTTGCCCAATCCGGGTATGACTGAGCCCGAAGGGCAAACTATATTTCATGAGTGAGCCCGAGTGGGGTCCACATTTTTCACCAACTTATGGCTACAGGAGTCAATGCAAAAGTTGCATCAATGTTGCCAAAGTAGACAAGAGGACTCCTCTTGTTGCTAGAGCCAACAGGGAATATTTGGTCTGGCAACATTTTCCAATTCCCACTTACTTGCATGCTTAGAGGGTAGTGTGACGCGCGAGTCAATGGAGGCTGATTTTGTCAATGTGAAGCGAGATGTCTTTACCAGGGATACATCGATGTAACTCGGTATAGAGCAAAGGCACAAGTTCCAAGAGTATGATTACATAAACATATGGTGGTACCTAATTGTTCGCTGTGAATGTAACTATGCACCTAGCGGCATTGTGCGCATAGTTTTTGGGTCACATCACAGACCTTTGCTGGTCCAGCTGGCTGAACCTTTAGCTATCATGCATGAGTGGCAGTTTTTCCTGTGTATTTTTGCCATACGACTGAATTAAAAGGTGAGGACAAGTGTACGCCCACAATGCACATGTCCACAAAGCAATTTATGTGCAACTTTGTTCCATAATATGGCGCTGACAGACAAAAATGTGGCCACGGCGCACAATAGGTGATGTTTTGGCCGACTGTACCTCAACATTGAGGCCATAGTGACTTTTTCATCTCATTAGAGAGTGTCAATGGAGGGGAAGACACCCAGTCGTTTGGCGGCTTCACAGTAGTGCTATCGCTGCTTTCTGCTGTTCGCCAGTGGCACCAAGGGGGAACTCAAAGGAATGCGAGGGTTTCGGTGATTAAGATAATTAGGGCCACCAGCACTAATCTGATGGTCAGTCGTTATTACAAGATAATGTTGACTATCGTTACGTCGGTGAAAACTATGTAAAAAACGAACCTTTGTTCAAATACATATTGTAGCAGGTTGATGCTCTTGCATGAAAGTCTTGTTTCCATGCCTTTCATTGTTGCTCTTGTACAGGGTTATCTCATAAAAAACTTACACAGGCAAATTTCTTTGTTGAAACATTGGCTACAGTGAAATTATCGCACCTTAACATTCATCGACTTGTTCGCAACTGGTTTGAGTGTTTCTTATCCAACCAAAAACAGTTCATATATGCTAACAACTACGCATCATCCACTTCACCCATTCTGCCTGGCATGCCCCAAGGCACTGTTTTTGGGCCACTCCTCTGCCTGATCTCTACATCAACGACCTGCCATCCACTGTAACCGCTTAGATATGTCTTTCTGCAGATGATTGCGTCGTGTTCCGCCTTATCAATAACTTCTCAGACATTTTTACTCTTCAGGAAGACCTCTTTCGTATTCAAGACTGGTGTACCACATGGCCCATTTCACTGAACACTTGTAAGATCATAAACATTTCATTCCATAGTCGACCCAAGTATGCACCCTCCGTGTACAAGATTAATAACAGCATCATAGCTAATGTGCATTCCTTCAAGTACCTAGGACTTCACCTGTCTCAAGACTTGTCTTGGACGGATCGTGTAACCCACATTATTAATTCAGCTAACAAAATGCTTGGTCACCTTTGCCGTTATCTTTTCATGGCTCAGTCACACGTAAAATTACGTGCGACCTAAACTTGAATATGCCTGTGCTATCCTTGACCCCCACCAATCTAATTTCACAAAAGGTCTCCTATCGTTTAAGAACCGTTCCGCCAGATTAATTCTTTTCGAGCACTCGTATCACGCAAGCGGTTTGTGTCTAACATCTAAACTGGAGCTAGTACCTCTTGACTTTCGTCGCCGCATCTCACGCCTATGCCTCTACCACAGATTCTTTCACACCATGCCTCGTGACAGCCGGTTGATTGAACTGACTCATCCTACATCCTGAACAGGCCACCTGAATGCAGTAATTCCACCCCATACCCACACCACTACATTCCATCAGTCTTTTTTTCGTCCGAACTGCCCGAGACTGGAATGGCCTTCCAGAAGATGTTGCACTTGTCCATGATGCAGCATGCTTCAGTCTGCCATTGAACACATAGAAAACAAACTGCTGTCTTTGGACTTACCTTTGTAAAATAGATCATTTTTTTTCCTATTGACACCATTTGTATCTACATTTCGTATTTCCTTATTGTTGTTTATTGTATTTTCTTTTTTTTTCTGTCTCTTCACTTCTGATGCGCACCCCTCATGTAATGTCCCTCGGGACCTTTAAGGTAGCAATAAATGAATAAAATATATTAGCTGTTCAATGATGTCTCATCATTTCAAGCTCTCATCTTCCTCTGAGCGTGGTGTCACACTTGGTAATGATTTCACTAAGTTACTGCAACGTTTGTGGTTTCTCAACACAAAGTTTGCTAATACCACAGAATGAGAAACCATGCATCTACGCAAGCAGGCACAGTGCTTGCACATTTTGTACCGAGTGATCATTTTAATTACGTGTGAATGTCATTGGCCGTTTTCGAAGCGGCATCGCTTCTTCAGTAAACGCGCATCGGTTTGTGATAGTGCAGACGTATCTTTCGTTGCGAACCGGCAAAACCAACGTTAACCGCAGCGCAACGTAGGACCCTGCATCTGAACGAACTCGCAGCGCCTTCATCATAAGCATCGTCACTCACTGGTCACCACGCTGCTCGTGCTATATTAAAGCAAGGCGCGTGCTATATTAAAGCAAGTCCTCACGACAGGCGGCTAGGACGCAGGCAACCGTAGCCGCTCCACTTTGTTCCAGGAAAATTAAGTGGCGAGATCCCTTACCCCTCTCTGCACCTCACTACAAACTTTGATACGTTCGATTAGGTACAACGCAACAATCCATTGCAGTCCTTTCGTTGAATTCTTAACTTCACAAGGGCACACAAAGCCACCGGTTGGAAACCAAGCGAATCGCACATGTGCATGTCTTCACGAACAAACACGCACAAAAAAGAATACAAGAGACATTTAGGAAAGATCAGTCGGTGTGGGCTACCGAAGTGTTGCCACCAGAACTCAACGAAGGATAAAAGCACAAGTCACAGGAGACAGTTTGCGCACAAATTTATGATTCAGCGGAATTGAACCATTGAACGCGTAGGCAGAGTGGCAAACTTCAACACGTTGCCGCGCCGTACGGGAGCTATACAGTTGATGCGCGACTAGTCCGAAGCGAGCAAGCTATCATTCGCTACGCCTCTGCGCTTACCTCCTTGTTCTGGAAAGCCCCGATTCCGCAAGTCGAACATCCGTCAGTCCTCTCGGTGGTATCCATAACCCAAAACATCACTTGTGATCTCTGAAGGCGCGAGGCGTTCGTAGCAGTGTCAACACTCTCATAGGCGAGGAAACGCCAAGTCCGTCGTCCACGATGTAAAGCGTCCACACGTTCAGTCTCTTCCCTTTGAGCTTTTTTGTTTCTGCACGAGTTGCATCAACGGGCGCCGAGTTTCGGAGATGTCAATCGTATTCTTGGCCGATCGACGATTGAGGGATGCAACCACGTGCTTCCGAATTCACCACCAGACGCTGCTTTTTTGGCGGCGTTGTAGGCAAGGTAGTCAAACGACAGTCGTTGTTTTAGATGCCAGCTCCACTAACCTTGAATCTCGTCAAAATACGAAGGCCCTATGCGACGGCGGTCAGCTAGCACCATTGTAATTTCTCATGATTCGCGCTGTCACTGGCCACAATAGTTTTTTTCCGAAAAAGCCGTGCACGCTTCAAACACACGCTGCAGCCTATCAGCGACATGCCGGCGGCACGCGCCAGCTTCATTACTCTAGAACCAGTCCTTGAATAAAAAATAATCATAATTTTTGATCATGCATTTCTACAACTCTCTAAAGCATGTTTTCTTTTTCTAATTATTGAATGGTTTCTTACTGCGAGCGCGGGCAACTTAAAAAAAGATGTAAGCACAAAGTAAGCGTTAAGACGTCTGCATACGAGGCTTTTTAATACGTCACAGCCGCAGGAGAGAAACGCAACATCCGTTCTCCAGTTTCCGGTGTTTTGCGGCGAAGAGGCGAGATTTTTGATAGGCGCCCGTAAACGTCTGCGTGAGCTGCGTGCTTTGGGGGCGTCCGTCGTTACGCGAGTGTATCGTTGTGCTTGGTCCGTGTGTGTGCGGTTGTCGTCGTCGTCGGCCGAGCATCGAACCGGGCCGTCTTGTCGTCCGCTGCATTCGTGGGCAACGCAGGCAGCTCCTTGACGGGTGTTGTGTGCGCGTTTCTTGTCGTGTGGACCGTGGGAGTGTCACCTTCGGCGTTAATCATCCTCACGGTGAGTGCCGTAGAGCTCGGTTCGTCGTATGTAATTCGCGCACCGTGTCTCGCCGGGGCCACCGGCGTTTAGTGGAGAAGCGCGCCAGGTCCGCCGCCGCATTGGCGGCAACGGCAACGTATACGAATCGCAACTACCACCGATTACGCAGTCCGCGGGATTGCATGTTCTATCGTACGTCGGTGTATCGTGCGCCTTCGCCGGTGCGGTGGGTGTGATTGCGGCTGGCCTTCTTCGCTTATTAAGTCTAATTAAAACCCGCAACCAGCGTGAAAAAACCGATAACTGTTCCTTCTGTTGCCGAATTGCGTACACTCCCCCCGTTCTGACGGCGGCGCACAGGTTCTGCGGCCCTTGGAACGATGCTGTACTCCATACAACGCGTGTACGCGCACTTCGTGTGCCGCGGAATGAATGTGCCTCTCTCTCTCTGACCGTTTTCCCCCCCACTTCTTTTCGCTTTTGCTCTCTGACACGTTCTGCAGATCAATGAAAACCATTACGGCCCGCGAAGACCGCTTTCGTTCTTCTGAGGAGCACGAGTGTGTCTTGTCAGGATGGTGCTGTAGCTGCTCGATTAACGCCGTAATCTGCGATTATACTTTTCTATTCTCTGGCCGATCCTGTGGATGTCTTTACCCCGATCGCTAGCAGGTGTTCGTTTGTGCAGCGGTGATCAAGTATCAAATAACGTGCTGCTGCACTTCGCGATACGTCGGTAGGCCGCATTTCTTTCTGAGGCCGCATGATGATTTTCGTTTTTTTTTTTCTCGTCTAGATGACACCGGTCAAGTTATACGCGACGTCTTCACATTCATCGGTTTCTTTCGCCTGTGTAGAACATCGATTATTTTGAGGCTTTTTACGTCCCAAAACCAGATTGTGAGAGGCGCTGTAGCGGAGGGCTCCAGAAGTTTCGAAAACCTGCGTTTCTTTCACGTCCGCGTAAATCCAAGTGCAAGGAGGGATCGCCTCCATAGAAAATGCGGCCGGAATCCGACCCGCCACCTTCGTATCAGCAGTCCACGATTTCTTCCGTAAGCAGTGTGCGCGTATCCGCTTGTTTGATGACATCGGTGCTGACTCCGTTTACCTGCCTGTCGGTTATTGTTCTTCTGCCTGCCGCTTTGAGTTTCCTTCGGCCTGACATATGTAAAGCGCCCGTCGTGAGCAACAACCCGCAGTTATTTGGTTTATAGCGGGTCAAATGTGATTGGCTGGCTCGTACGCGACTCCGAGTCCAGTCGCACACCCACCTTTCGCGCGAGTTTATTCGAGCCAATGAACTGTCGTACCTCGTTATGACGTCATTCATGTAACGAAGACGACTCGCATGTAAACAGTGCGAAGGTTTCGCACACTACATGCGGCTGCGTTGTTTCTTAAAATGTCTCGTTTCGGATCGCGCTTTTAATTTGATAGTATTCGCGATTGGAAGGCAGACGTATTTAGGAGCGCATCATCAAAGGAAATGTCGACGTAAAATTCAGTAATCTGAGCGCGCAGTGGAGGTCAGAGGGAGACGCCGTCCATTACACGCTGGCCGAAGTTAATGAGGAGAATGACCTTGCCGGATAGCTTGCGCTCTCTATGGTGGGAAAGATAAACAGTAAAAGACGCCGTGGTAGCCTCGAATTGGAGGCCGGTTGTTCTCCGAACCTCCGGTCTACTGATTCTTCTTGCACAGAAGCAGCATAGGTAGTCAGGTTTATATAGCCCAGACCATCGGTTCTCCGCCGAGAGAAGAACCACGCATGTTTCACGAGCTCAAGTCACCTTCACTCGGTAGTCTCCCGTAATTCGAATCGTTCGTTCATTCGTTTTGACGTGTACTGGGAAGGTCGTCGAAAATTTAGCCATAAATGTCATGCGCTTTCGTTTATTCTGTTCCTCGTTACTTCTGTTCCACTATTCGGACACACACAATGAGATTGCCGAAGAGAAAAGCGGTACAAAAACGCTAATTCACATTAGCGAGAATTATGGGAATTCATAATTCACCCGGAAACCCCGCTATGGAACTAATCAAATCTTTATTTCGGTGCCTACAGACCCACAAACAACTTGATTTCAATGTGTACACAAGGTCTCTACAGGTGACGTGGTAATGAGCAAAATGTGGAGCTCACGAATGAGATAAGTCTCCTTTTATCTCAACCAGCGTTTTTAGGCTGGACATATTTTCGACGAAGTGTGATAGACAGACGGACTGACGCAGGCAGCATCTCTTAGCCACCTAAAAAAAAAGGACCACAGTGCAAAATCTGCCCCATACATTGACCTAATCTTGTAGAGGGCGCTTTGATGACTCTTGTATAACTCTGTTGCGTAATTTAAAATACTTTTTTCTCTGTCCGTGGATATCGAACGCGTCTTTTTTCCGTTTAAACATGATAAGTCAAGAGGATTTCCCTTATAAATTATTAGAATAAGTATCACTTAATATATTCATGGCCGGGTTGCAAAAAGGTATAGCAACCGTGCAAGCAAGTTAGTAACAGTTTCAGTTGCTACCTGTTTCATTCCACTTAGTAACTGTTTATTAAAGCAGGTAGTAAACAGGTAGAAAAAGTTAGTAATGGTTGCAGGTAGTAACTGTTTACTAACGCTGGTAGTGAACAGGTTGCAAAAAGTTAGTAACGGTCCAAGAAAGGTAGCAAGTGTTCAGTTACTATACCTATTTGCTTACAGTTGCTACCCTTTTACTAAATATTTCTAAGAGTGTAGACATCACATCGCAGAGTTCAGTAGATCTAGCTCGTTGAGCTAATGTTGTCAGTAATAATAAAAAAAAGAAGCCGTTGAAATTCTTGATTGGGGAGGTTGAAATGGCCGCAGACAAGCTGTAGAGAAGCCCGTACGTTTCGGGACTGATTTGCTCCCTTTCTCAGAGGGAGTGACTGCGTTCAACGTTCATAGTCTTGACTGCGTTTGTCATGGATTACACGGGCGGAGATTCTGGCGGGAAATTTCGAAGTGATACTTGAGCCTCGATTTTATTCTCTTTTAATAAATCCTACGTTGACGTCATTAGAGTAGTTCGCCCTGCCGCGGTGGTCTAGTGGCTAAGGTACTCGACTGCTGACCCGCAGGTCACGGGATCGAATCCCGCCTGCGGCGGCTGCATTTTCGATGAAGGCAAAAATGCTGTAGGCCTGTGTGCTCAGATTTGGGAGCACGGTAAAGAACAACCGCATTGCTGAGTAACTCGGGGGACGAATCGCAACTCATGATTGCGGAAATTAATCTTCAGAAAACGAAATTAATGTACAACAACCTCGGAAAAAAGCAGCGCTTCGAGATAGGTAATAGTGCACTTCAAGTTGTAAAAGACTGTCTACTTAGGGCAGGTAATAACCGGGGAGCCGAACCACGAGATTGACGTAACTAGAAGAATAAGAATGGGGTGGAGCACATTTGGCAAGCACTCTCAAACCATGACAGGTAGATTGCCACTATCCCTCAAGAGGAAGGTATATATAACTGCTGCATCTTCCCGGTACTTAGTTACGGAGCACAAACCTGGAGACTTATAAAGAGGGTTCAGATTAAATTGAGGACGACGCAGCGAGCAATGGAAAGAAAAAGGGTAGGTGTAACCTTAACAGACAAGAACAGAGCAGAGTGGATCGGGAAACAAACCGGGGTTAAGGATGTCATAGTTGAAATAAAGAAGAAGAGATGGACATGGGCCGGGCATGTAGCGCGTAGACAAGATAACCGCTGGTCATTAAGGGTAACTAACTGGATTCCCAGAGAAGGTAAGCGGGTTTGGGGGAGACAGAAGGTTAGGTGGGCAGATGAGATAAATAAGTTTGCGGGTATAAAATGGCAGCAGCAAGCACAGGACCGAGTTGACTGGCGGAGCATGGGAGAGGCCTTTGTCCTGCAATGAACATAGTCAGGCTGATGATGATGATATAACTCCAGGCTGTCGAAATTTCTGTAGTCTTCCACTAGTATTAGTAAGAAATTCTGGGGTCGCGGCCTCCTATGAAGATCTGGCGCGATGGCGGACTGCGCTGCTCAGTTCGGGCCGGGACAAGCAGCTATGGGCGATCCAGCAGGCCGAGGAAGCTGCCGGGAGACACAGTCTCTCCGTTGGCCCCTAGGTGGGAGCCCATCCCAGCAATCTGCCGGAAATTAATAGAGCCTACATTTATCTCCGCTATATATACGGCGTCTCTTATAATCATATGGTGGGTTTGGGACGTTAAACCCGACATATCAGTCATCAATCAGTCATAGGAGTTTTCATTCGTCATTAGAGTAATTGACGTGATTAGGCTATTCAGAGATCGATTAATCGCGTTTTCACGTGTGCAAGCTCCGCGTGTTGACAGTTCAGCGTGCCCACGTCCCTGACAGGCAAGCGCATAGCGTATAGAAAAGGCGGCGCGCTTATGCCAGCGTGCAGCCGCTACGCATATCCCGTCAGCCCAACGACTGCCAAGGTCCGCGCGTTGAGTCAGACTTTGGGAGGATCCGCGGCGTCAAGGTATACGCGCGCGCCGCTGCTGTGGTCGCTCCATCTCTTCGACGCCTCGTCACGCCGGAAGAGCTTTTCCTTTGAGAGAGGAGGAGCGGGAAAAGAGGGGCGCTGCCTATCACCGAGAGCATGCGGGTGTGTGCGAGTCGTTTGTGAATTCGCCGCGAAGAGTTCCTTTTGTTTGAAAGTCGCCGCCTTCCAGGCCGTGAAGCATACGTAGCGTATGAACGCAAGGCCGTGTGTTGTTGCCAGCCTTGTCGGCACGCCTCGTATTTCCTGCCGCGAAGAAAGAGCAAAAGGAGGCACCGTTGCAGCTATAAAGAGCGTGGCTTCAATCGTTGCGTGGAGTGTTTCAGTGTGTCGTCGTCTTTGGATTATTCCTCCGACTGTGTTCTTCTTTGTTGTTGACCGCTGCAAGGTTTGTGATGAACCTGAATGCGTCTATTCATAGTTGGATAGAAGCGGTCTCTCTCTCTCTCACACACACACACACACACACACACGAGCTGTT